GATTCCTGGATCCTATACGGAAACACCACAAGAAAATGAGAATGCCTGGATTGATCTGATTTCGAAGCTCAAATTCTTGATATTGCAGTCATTTGACATGCGGGTAACTCAATATGAAGAGAACATTCGGGAAAAGGATAGTCAAAGAACTTTACCTGGCTGGAACTTCTGTACATTTTTTGTACTCAAAGAGGGTCTGGCAAGAGGATTTGAGAGCGTTGGTTTGATCGAAGATGCCTTAGTGGGTTATGATGAGCTTTCCATTGGCTTGGACACAATTGTTAGAGACCAAGCTGCTGCAGAGCCTGGCACTCAGCACGGCGGCTCTTTCTTACCTTACACTGAAGAACTTAAACTCCAGGCAGAGCGGGCTAGAGAGGCAATTTTGAAAGACATAGGCTTGGAGGGCGCAGGATCAGACTCAGAGGAACCGATTGACCTACAGTCCACGGGTGGTACTTCCGAGAAGGAGGATGATGAAATCCCCATTGACGCATCGAGGAAAAGGTACCGGGAACTCATTCTTGCGAACGATGTTTCAATATTTGATTTTCGGTGCTATTTATTTGCTCGCCAATTAACTCTCTTACTGCGATTAGCAAATGCATGGTTTACACAAGAAGAATTACTCGCAAAGCTCAAAGAGCAGCGAGAATCAAGTTTACTTGGAGTAGCTGCTAGACTTCCAGCTTCACAACCTTCAGATGACACTGAAAATCTTGCTGTGCTTGGTGAAGTCTGTAAGCGAGCAATGGATTTTATTGGTGCTATATCAAATATCATGCGTGAGGATATCTGGAGTGCTTATTTCCATTCTCAAAAAGAGATTTCCTACGAGAAGGCAAAATCGGATTTTAAATCAGATCCCGTGATGAATCAAGTAATTGAAAATGTTGTTTCCTCTTTCACATTTTCTCTTGCTCAGCAGATACTTGCACAAACTTCCACAAAAGCATTGCCTATCCCACCTTCGACACTGGCACCTCCCGGCGGCGGAGCAGAGCCGAAATCCTCAATCCCCGAACCTAAAACCATGATGCATCCTGCTAGGACGACTTCTCTTGCCCTCCGATCATCGTCTCGAGAGCCTCCAAGTCCCGGATTGTTTCCCGGTGGCCGAAGAGCCAGCGTACCTGGTCCTGGTGCGAGTTCGTCGGCCTTCCTCAAAAACGGGTTAGAGGACCTTGCTGCCCACCGAGCCGAACTCTATTTGCTCTCTCGGAGTGTTCTAGAGCATATTGGTAAGCAGCGTGGGTGGACTGCCGGCTGGGAAGATGTGAATAAGCATCAAAGCGAGGATGTGGAAGTCATGGAAGAGGTTAACCTTGATGAAGAGACGCCATCAAACAAAGACGAGACAACTTCTCCAATTCAAGTTCCACCTTCACTAAACGGCATTGACAGCAAGTTGCTTCGGACAGCACTAGACAACAAGGCCGATTTTTATCGTCTCTACGAAACTCTTACTGATAAAGCACTCCGGCATTATACCGTAGCAAATCGCATACAGTCTGTACAGACCAGCATGGCAGATCTGGCTATTCTCAAATATCATTTGGAGGACTATGCTGCCGCTGCCTCCTATTTTTATCGCATTACTCCTTTTTACGGAGATGCTTCGTGGACACAAGTCGAAGTATCGCTATTAGTAATGTACGCTAAGTGTCTCAAAAAGTTAAGTCGTAACGATGAATATGTCAAAGTCGTACTGAAGCTTCTTGCGAGAGTGGCCATGATGGAGAAAGAAAAACTTACCAGAAAATCAGCTTTCAAGATTGGCCAAATGAGCACGTTTGACGAAGGAGATATCATGCTCAGTGATAAATACCTAAATGAATTGTTGCTGATAACACCAAACCTGTCCCGTGACGTTCACGTCCCACTGCAGGATTATTTTAGTAAGATTGAAGTAGACGGAACTCCTCAATATCATTCTAGTCAGGATAGTTTCGGCTTACAGCTTCGACTTCAATATTTGTTGAAGGAAGACTTGAACGTCGATAAGGCCCGAGTAAGGGTTATTCCGTTATTGGGCGGCCCTGGCCGGGAAATCTGGCTCGAAACAAATGATGCACGTTTATACAAAAAAGGATGGAACAAATTATACGTTCAGAGTAATGTAAGTGAAGATAACACTCTTAATTTGAATACGTTCTCACGGTTATAGATCATAATCCCTGGCTCTTATCAAGTTACACATGTCATTCTCCACAGTAGCAAAATTATCATGGAGTATTCACATGATAGTATTGGGCATCTATCTACAAGAGGAAGTGGTTTCTTCAAATGTCCGAAACTACTCCTTTACCACCGCGCAGAAGCTTTCAACGTCAAACTCTTCTCCTCTAGATGCATGCATCTAGACCAAAATCGTTCTTTAGAGATTGAGCTATCGTCTGGGTGGAATAATGTCAGAAACGGCCAACTTCAAATTCGTGCGGCAACAGCTGGGCTGCGGCTTCAAACGAGCGAGGTAGCGATTATCGACGGACAACTCGACATTTCCAAAAAGAAAGAGGCAGGGGTCGTTCACTTTGGTGCGATGGAAGCAGAGAGCATTGCAAGAATACGAGTGCCGTTCAATCTTGAACACGAGGTGAACGAAGTCACACTTCGACTTGAAATATCGTACACAACGAAAGATGGAGACTTTTTCTTTGCTACCACTTCTTCGGTGTCAATCATGCTCCCATTGGGTGTCAATGTCCAGGACGTATTCAAACATAAAGCATTGTTTTCTAAATTCACCATCTCAACATCCACAAACAGCCCACTCAGACTTCTTAGTTCTAAGTTAGAAAAGTCCGAAATATTCGAGGCACATTCTGGACTTGGCCTAACACGACCTCTCACCATATTTCCTCGTCAACCAGCGTCTCTACTGTACAAAATCATGAAGACCGATTCGCCTTCTTCCCCAATCAATCGACGGAAGTCCCACAAACCGAGAACTTTATCTCTCATCTTACATTATATTTGTCTTGATGAAGAGGTTTATGATGTTGTGGCTCAAGTTCTGAGAGACTTTCTCGGGAGCAACTCCTTACGACCATATACTCGCCTGATTATACCTGTCGTTCTTTCGGAACTTCGATCAAATTTCTCGCCATACGATTTTGAAAGGGCCGCCATTCTTGGTGAGATACCTACTTCAGCTATCCTTAACATCAGATGGCATGACCATTTTTCGGGACTGGGAAATTCCATTGAACAAGACCAAGACACTGCTCTGCTCATTTGCAAGATACTCCAGAAATGGCAGAAGCAAAATCCTGTCATCCCTTTACCGCTCCTATCCGTCGACGGAGCTGCAATCTCAAAAAGTCGATCGATTGTAATCCCAGTGGATGTCCCTTCGGTGATGGTGGTGCATACTGCTGACCTACGGCTACTTCAAATGGCATCAGTAGCTTCTAGTAGTGCTGTAGCAGCAGCAAACGAGCCAATACCAGCATCATTGCACCTTAAATCGACGAGGAACTGGGATACTGCCTCTCATGATGATGCTACAAGCCCAGGGGAAGATATAGAATTTGTATATGAGGTCACAGGTCCATCAGATACATGGCTCATTGGTGGTAGGCGAAAAGGCCACTTCAAAGTCCCTAGAGCTGTAGATGGAGGAAATCATAAATTGACTTTCCCCATCGTGCTGATCCCTCTTCGGGAGGGGTTCTTGCAATATCCTACTATAGAGATCAAACCACTTCCCGCTACCAGAAGTATCAGACCAGGATCATCAGGCGGTGGAGAGGAAGGCGTGAAGAATAAATCACGGCCTGTAATTTGCGAAACTGACTGTAAGAATACTGGCGAAACCATTAGAATTATAAGTGATGCTAGGAAGACGACTATGAGTTTAGATGCTAGTGGACCGCAGGGCGGAGCCTGGTTGCTAGAAAGTGAGAGAAGACCAGCGGGTGCTGGAGGCATTGTGATCGATTGAAGACATTAGACTTAATATAATAATTTTGGAACAAGGATCTTTGAATGCACAAAATGAAATGTGATGGTGAGGTCTTACTTTTCGTATCAATTAGAATAATGAAGTCATGCTTCATATCGAGTGACAAATAGGTAGAAGACAATCCTCGTGCAGCTAGAAGCTTAGAAAGTATACAACTCCGCCGCTAAGAAAACCAAGTTAGTCCCCTTGTAGTTTACCATCTTGTGATATGTGCATCTAGCTTCGGAGTTGCATACTTTCTGGCAGCACGAGTAGTGTTCATTAGGTAAGATTACAAGAGCTGAGGGGAGCGGTGGAGTGGAAAGAAAATTCTCCGAGGAGTCAAGTAGATTAATTGCCGGGGGAACTAACGGCGGAAAGGCGAATTGCACGTTCCCCACGGGCCCTCCGTATAGAAACTCGTGGGGTTGAGGGGAAAAAAAAGGTAGGATCAATTTGCCCGACAATCTTGGCAATAATACCTAGATACATATGTTTAGAAAAGATTAGCAATGGTTAAATACGAGTAGAATCCTTACAATACGAAAGTAAAGATCGAACATTGCAATCTTCTAGGGATTGAATAACCGCATGTAAACGTAAAATAGGATTCTTATCAACGTTTATCATCTTATCGAGCCGCGTATCAATGTTGGTTGACCGAACCCAGTTTCCTCTCCAGTTTCGTTAATATATTGACCACTATCGGCCACTCGACTAGCCGTATTTACTGCAGTCATCATCCGAACCTTGCCTCGTGCAGATTTTCCTAATAAGGAAATGATGGGTTCGGGGTCTCCGCCCTAGGTCTAAATCTAAAGGTTGTGATTAGATTAAATCTACGAACGGCCAAGATCCAGGTACTACCTTGAATGCGAGGATGCTCCTGCCATTCTGCTAGAGATCAAGTATTTTTCTTACCTATAGAGGTAGAGGTTTCCCTTAGAATGAATATAATATCTACTTCTTTCTCTCTCGCTTTCTCTCTCTCCTGACTTTATATCTACTAGTTCTGTTCTTCACTGAAGTAAATTTTGGAGGACTACTATTCATCATGGAAGAGAAGTCTAGTCACAGTCCTGTGTCAAGCTATCCTGAAGAGTCCACGGGTTATGGCGAAAAAGCTCCTCCAGATTACAATGGCAATGATATTCAAACAGAAGGGCTTATATCCGAAAATGTCGATGGTCTCAAACGACAGCTTTCGGGAAGACAAATTCAAATGGTAACCATTGGTGGTTCAATTGGTACAGCTTTGTTCATATCCATTGGATCGGGACTTACACAAGGTGGACCGGGATCTCTACTCATTGCCTTCATCTTATACAGTTGTTTCCTTGGGTTAGTTAATAATTGTATGGCTGAGATGTCAATCTTCATGCCGGTTAGTGGAAGTTTTGTGAGGATGGGGAGTAAATGGGTTGACGAAGCCTTCGGATTTATGCTGGGGTGGAATTTCTTCCTTTATGGTGAGTAGTGTTCAATTGTGTGCGAGAATTTACGAAGTATGTGGATAAGTGCTAATGAGGATCTGAATCTAGAGGCTATATTGATTCCATGGGAGATTAGTGCGTTGAATTTGGTGTTGACTTTTTGGAGGTATGTATCTTTAGCTCCTTTTTTTCAACCGATCATTACACTTGGACATATCTAACGCATTAGGACAGTGATAATATACCCTTAGCAGCTGTCTGCGCTGGATGTATCTTTCTCTATGGGTAAGTTTCTATCTCAATCCCCAGGTATCATTTCTGACTAGAGTAGTGTTATTAATCTTTTTGCTGTTAAATGGTATGGAGAAAGTGAGTTTTGGCTGTCTGGTGGTAAGGTAGTGTTGATCGCTATGATATTTTCCTTCACATTTATCACAATGGTCGGAGGAAATCCAAAACATGATGCATATGGGTTCCGTTATTGGAAAGAACCTGTAAGTTCCTTGCATTTTCTGAGTTTTTTTTTTGGTCCTAATGATCTGTAGGGTGCATTTGCCGAATACGTCACTACGGGATCTTTGGGTAGATTTGAAGGATTTCTTGCCGCGTTATGGAAAGCCGCATTTACTATTGTTGGGCCTGGTACGTTAAACTGTGCCGGAATTGTACTAAAAATGTGTAAAACATGTAACCCTAACAATTATCTAGAATACATTGCTATGATGTCGGGTGAAGCCTCGCATCCCCGCAAAAACCTCAAGCGAGCTTTCAAGACGATCTACTGGAGATTTGGAGTCTTCTTTATCGGAGGAGCTCTAGCATGCGGAATAGTCATTCCATACAACGATAAGAAACTAATTGCTATCCTTTCGAGTGGTGGCTCGGAGACTGGAACTGCAGCTTCCAGTCCCTATGTTCTTGCTATGCAAAATTTGGGAATTGGCGTACTTCCGCATATTACAAATGCCTTACTCGTGACGAGTATCTTTTCCGCTGGTAATTCCTATGTGTATGTTGTCCTCCTCTCTCATACAACAATGTCCTAGAATATACTGACAGTACCGAAGTTACTGCGCATGTCGTACATTGTACAGTCTCTCGCTCGATGGACATGCCCCACGTTTCCTCCACAAATGCACCAAGTCTGGTGTACCAATCTACTGCTTTTGCGTCACCATGATCTTTCCCTTTTTAAGTTTCCTTGCAGTGGGCAACAGTTCGGCTCAAGTCATCACATGGCTCGCAAATCTTACCGAAGCCTCACAAATCATAGATTACATTTGCATGTGTACTATTTATATATTCTTTTATAGAGCATTAAAGGCACAGGATATTGATAGAAGTACACTGCCTTATGTAGGTTGGTATCAACCTTATTGTGCCTGGGCGGGACTTGCGGCAATGATTTTCACGGTGGCGTGTTATGGATACACCACGTTTTGCCAGGATGTGAGTTCTCTTTGCGCCCTCTCCTGCGTGCTGATTTATCAAAATGTGAAAACAAAACTAACCAAGAATAGGGTGGGATACCGGAACATTCTTCTCTTATTATACTATGGTATTCGTCTGTCCAATACTTTATGGGGGATGGAAAATTGTCAAGAAGACCAAAGTTGTAAAACCAGAAGAGGCGGATCTTGTATGGGAAAGACCAATTATCGATGCGTACGAAGCGACTATGGCTGAAAAACACATATCGTTCTGGGAGGAAGTAAAAATCATGATGGGGTTCGGAAAGAAGGAAGTGCATGTGGAATAATGATTGAATGATAGTGAGGATGGACGGTCCGGGATCATCACCTTAGAGAAAAAGTACTGCCAGTGGAATCTTATTCCCTTTCACGATATTCCTAGGAACCTACTATTTCGCGAATACCTTTGATGAATAATAAATGCTCGAGAATACCCTGGTCAAATCAGGGCGATTAATACAAATATGAGATGACGCCTTAGGCTGGATTGGGAAGTCTAGGTGCTATTGAGACTGCATCAACCATAGTGAGCTCAATAAGAAGCGATGTCCCTTTCACTGATTACTCTCCTCCCATTGAAACCTATCAAGTCTGAGTTTCAAGTCGCTTATTTTGCCTACCGTCGACTGCTTCTCGGCCAATAACTGATGGATCTCAGAATCCACAGTCTTCGACCTCAGAGTTAAACACAACATCTTCTTTCCTGTCTCAAAAATATCTTTAAATTTCTCTGTGCTTGCTATGCCCTCCTCACACTTGCCGCGCCATTCCGGAGATGATATTCTCCCGCGAAGCTGCTGAAAGCAAACTAATTGTTCATCTAGAGACTCGATGTGGATTTCCAAACGGTCAATCTACTTCTCATACTCTGTGACCGAATCGGATCGCTTCAGATAGTTCATGACTGCTCTTATATACAATACGCGTTCATGGATTCTTTGAGCCAGCGATTGATTTTCGTTTGGGGTGCCGGGGTCGGTATTGTCACTGATCTTGGGTGGTGCACCTTCCGGTTTGTGTGATGGGCCATTGAGGAGGTTGGAAGGGGCCTTGTCTTTCTATAGAGTGGATGTGGATTAGAATGAATGTCAATTTTTGCCCATGGAACTTTTGGATTTGAAATAATCAAAACTAGAGATGATTATGAGAATGATCTCATTTAAAGATCGTAACGTACCTTTGTGTCGTTAGACGATGTCATGTTTGGATTCTGCTGATTGCTCTTCTAGGTGATCAATTCTGATTTGATTGTGAAGACTGGCGATTATCTCAAAGAAAACCCGAATGAAGACCTAAAGCTGTTTGGGACTTTATACTACCTTTCCAGTAGTGATGGAAGCTGTGTGAGGAATATTCAAGCATATTCGTGGCATCATTTAGCATTTCGTGAAGATTCTCTTATTCCAATACTCGCTAGAAGATACTGGGACGTTAAAAAGAAAAAAGAAGAATAATGCAAACTTGACACAAAGATAAACTGATCATTGGAAGACGTCACAAGCTGCTCGACAAACCACAAAATCCAATCTAAGTTGTCTTAATGCAAACCTTGAGAACAATTTGGCAAATAACAATACTCAGTATTATTATAAGTACCCCAAGCTTTAGCCAACTTTTAGCTTCTAATATCATACATTCTCCAAAAATGGCAACGCAACCACACGACTTGACTGTCGTGGCAGCCCTGTTCAGTGCCATTGAGGAGCGCAACGCGCTTCTAGAAACAATCAAGAGGAAAGATGCAATGTTGGAAACATGCCAAGCACAGTTAACGCAGCGTATGAATGAGAAAATTTCGTGTGAAAGAGCTCAGACGAAGCTGGCAAAGTGTGAAAAGTTGCTCGAGGACAATGGAATAGAGGGGGTGGAGGAAGTGATTTGTAAGCTGGAGTATCTGAATGATATGGTGGAGAAATTGCAATTTAGGGCAAAAGAGGTAGAGGAGTCGGGAAGGAATATTGAGGGTTGATGGCTCTTAGGTGATGTTGAGAGGTGGTTAGGTAGGATTCTTTAACGTAAGAAGTGATAAGAAGGAGGCAGAATGGGAGGATATGCGAGAACGTTTACTCCATATTAGTTCTGAGCTTAGTCTTATGAAGTGTCAGCTGCAATGCTTGTGAGATTGACTTTCACTGTAATGTTTGAAGACAATACCTTTGACTTCCGTTCCCCTTTCTAGCTACACATTTCTGGATGATAGATAAAACCTACCCAATTAAGAGGCCAAATCTTCTAGTTGTGACTGAAGAAGTTCAAGCTTCAGATCTAATTCATCAGTAGCCCAAGAGACCAAATATAACGCGCTCAGATCAGAATCCTGGAAATACCCACACACTGCCGAACAGAAACACGCAGTCGGTATCAAACGTACCTAAACAAAACCATCTTACCTACCGAAAAAACAACACCTATCGCACAAAGCTACTTCGACTACCCATTTCGACTGCGCAAATACCGTATGTAATACCAACCTCAGTCATAACCTGAAACATCTGCATGCGCTTCCATAATATAAAAGGAGCTTTAATGGTTTAAAAGCGGGGAAACCAAATCCGCAAGGTATCGCATGAAGTGAGGTGCAGATGGGGAAATAGAAAAGATTCGCGAGTGTGAAAAAGGTTCGCAAGTATTGGTCTATTGGACGGAAAAGAAGTTCCTCAGGAAGACTAATGTGAGAATGGGTAAGTAGATGGGTCAAATGATGCTTAGCTTTTCAATCATACCCTTCTAATGTAATGAGCATAACTTCCTTCGATGCAGATCTTCTTTGCGCTACAGTATTCCTTGGTGAAATAGTTAGTTTATTGAGGAATGCTTGAAACAAAAAACGTTGGTTCTGATATTGATGAGTAGGTATGTATAGGCGCTTTTCTATCGTTGCCATCCGACGAGTTCATTATCTTGTGCTGTGGCTCGTTGATGGCCATCGATTCGATATGCGCTGTAGTTTGATATGTCAGTTGTTGCTATCTTTTGTAGTATCTAAACTCACCAGACAGTACCACAATTTGTGACATGCCTGAAATCAATGGATGATGTGCCAGTACATACAAAAGACAATGAACTTTATGATAATACACCTTGCGAGAATTTGCGCAGTGGTGTATCCCACAATGACAAAGCGATGAGCCCACAACCCCGAGGCAATCCAACATTCATCCTCCCAAGCATTCACCTATTCACCGCTCTTGCTTCTACTATATATATTTTAAAAATCTTGATTCCAGTACATTAGGCGTATGCATGGGAATGGCAACGTGGTGTGGTGCAGTGGTTTGATTCCACTCTTGACGATTCAACATCGTGCAACGCAGTCACACAAAAGGTCCCCGCAGGCAAATACTAGGAGAACTAATTACTCTTCCAACGGGAACTTCGCTCTAGGAAGAGGGACAGAAACCTACGGCTTGTTACCGTACTCAGTGTTCACACTGAGAACCTATGTTTTGCTCTTTTTGATGTTGGATTTGTGGATTTTTTTGGCCCAAGGGGAAAGGATAGTGTGAGTGGGTCTGTGTCGGTTGAGGTGGTGAATTGAGGTTGCTTGATTGGATGCGAGGTGTGGTGTCGTTGTCGTCGTCTCGCTTCGCGGATTTTGTCGCGCTTCAATTTTGCCGCGTTGAAGCTTCTTTACTTTACCATAGGTTGGAGATCTTTGATTTGTGAATATCAAAATTTTGATGGTACGAATAGCTGGTAAAAAAATCTCAAAAATTGTGTTTGATTGTTAAGTGTCATGGAGTGAATGATGCGACTAAAAATAAGACTGCTTTGACTTGGTATTACATATTTTGCGGTAACGCCTAGGACTGAAAGTATAGCGTGGATTGACATCTTTTCCTTTTTCTTCAGAAAATTTATCCATGCACATTTGTTTCTAGGTATGTCAACCAGATAGCTCTTAGTTCGTAAATACTCCCCTCCCTCGCAATCTCCTCGCTTCGCATTATGAGATGCCCCACTTCTTCAGATCATCTTTTTGAGAGTTGCAAAAGACGAAATTCGACGAGAGCTACGATATTTGAGCCAATTTTCTGTATGATTGTTCACAGTGGAGTTTGTTGTTACTAGGCATGGGCGATGGATGAAAGAAAGATTCACATGTCCAAACATGATAGGTATGGCCACGTCCACACTGCTCAAATATACGTACAGTGTACTTCATCCTTCCATCTCCATTTCCAAATCCTCATCTTCCTCACTCCAGCACTCTAATTCCATTCCCTCCGTTCCTTCAACTTCATCTCCCTCATCTATTCCCTCTTCCCCATCCTCGTCATCTTCCTCATCTACCTCATCTACCTCATCCACCTCATCCTCATCATCTTCACCCTCGCCATTCTCATCCTCATCCTCATCATCACTTTCCTCTTCCCCCGCCACAAACCACCAATTTCTCCCCTCATAATAATCCGCATTCCCATTCTCCCTCACCCGCAATCTCAACATCCTCTTCAACTCATGTTCCTTCCTCCACAACACACCTTCACACACCAACAAATTCTTCTTATACTCCTGATGCGACCGCACTACTTTCCGCAACACAACCGCTTTCCTCATTCTTTCCCTCCCATCTCTTCCCTCCCCCCCTCCCACACGCAATCTCACCAATGCGACACGAAGTGCTCGTGCGTGTTTCTTCTCGTCTTTCGTAACTTGTCTCGTGTTGTCTTGGGTATATTTTAACATACCGCAAATCTCTCTATACTGTGTTTCTTGGGAATTCAAAGGGATATCGAGGATTGAGGGAGTAGCATTGCTGAAAGGTGAGTTGGGATTTGGCTGGATGTCGTGGAATGATGGGTACCAGGTTTGGGTGGGGTGGAATGACATTTTGGAAGAGAAGTTTAGAATTGAGATGTGATGGGTGAAAGGAAAGATTGGGAAAGTGATCAACATATAGTGCGTAGTAAAAAACTATTTTGTCGAGAGAATAATGGAGGCTGATGCTGAGCCTTCGAGATTTGTCACGGATTTTTTTTCAGACTTTGGAATCGGCAGTACATTCATTCTTCCAGCAGCTTCCAGACAAACCTTGGGATAGGATGAAAAAGATGATGGAATTCTCATGCGGAAGATCTAAGGAATCACTACAGAAGACACAACATGGTTTCTATCGTAATTGTAAGTCCAATTTCGAGTTCATTCTACTTCAAGAAAGAGACGATTCAATTTAGATCGTTGGCGCAAGTTATTCGTGGCAATGCACGCCTCAATAATTCTCTTGTTTCCACATCTAGTAGGAATCTTAAGTGTTGAATCTATCTTCACACCAGATCCTCGACTGTTCATCACTTTGCTCATGCCTCCCAGCAGACCTGGAAATTTTCGTCCCCAAGCCTTGGTATCACTCACATCCATAAACGGGACATGCGCTCTTCATCAGAACTCTTAGAATCCTCATTACTGAGCCCAATCAACGCGCGTGACTATTCTGTTTTTTTTCTGTCGAAGAGGCAATTGCTTGCGCTTTCCCGGTCCCACAGCCGACGTATCATCAGAATCAGATTCAACATAGGCCCGCACATGTCTCTCTACAAACTCTGTTTTCTCGCGCTTCGCCGCCCTCTGCTCCACACTTTCCCTCTCAACTTCCTTCGATTCGCAATGAGTCTCGAGTGAACGATTCTCGGCTTCTTCAAGAATCTTGTCAAGCTTGTCCAGCCAACCGTAAACCGACTGGATTGAAAGAGGCTCCCATGCCCATTCTCCCCTCATTGATGGATCGAATTTTGGGCCTCCGAGATCCCTCGACTCTTCTTTCCTCCTCATCTCTCTGTACTCTTCCCAGTTTCTTTTCTCCTTATCCATTCGCTCCGCTAGAATTTTACCCCAATTCTGCCATTCTTCAAGGGTATGCTTCTTGTTAACAAAATTCTTCACCTCATCTACATGTTGTCTTTCTTTCATGATTTTGGCAACAAGGACTGAGATTAGTGTATCAGTCGACATTTTGGTTTCTGAAATCGGGATGATCTCGTGCCACTCAGTATTAGGCGGATTACATGCCTGAAGCGTTTCGTGTTCATCATTACCAAACGCGCGAGAAAGATCTGCATGTATGTCCTGGATTTCTTGTTTGATGATCGCAGGATCGATCTGGCAATGTGAATTTTCATATTGATCACTTCCTCGGCTTTCGCCGAGTTTCTTTCTCTCATCCCGTCTCTCCCTTTCTTCACGCTCTCTCTTGCGTTCTGTCCGCTTCCTCACAGCCTCTTTAAACCTGCGTCTTGAATCGCGAGACTTGTCAGTTACTCGAGGTCGATGCGGAAGCGTGGATTGTAGTTGCACGATTCGCGCCTGTTCTGCAAGATTGTGCCGTCTGGGATTTTTGAGTAGAGCAGGTCTATGAACAAGTGACTTAGTACGGGTTTTCTGTACGACTTGTGGAGAAGTGTCTTTGACAACAGGGACACCATGTGCAGCTGGCCTGAGAACAAGCGGCTTAGTACGATTGCCGCACATGACCTGTGAAGAAGCCCCTTCAGTATCCATGACACCGGGTACAGCAGGTCTGAGAACAAGCGGCCTAGCGTAACCATCCCCTCCAAACCATGAAGAACTCCCTTCGACAGCCGGGACACCAGATACAGCCGGTCTATGCACCATTGGTTTACGATATTCAAACCACGCAGGAAGCTGACCTCCCTTCCCGGTGGAAATTACCAGTTCATCCTGCACATGTTAAAAGTTTCCTCTCAGTAAATCAACAAGAAAAAGATTATAAAGGAAACCATCAAAAAACCTACCTTTCCACCCAAGTCTATCATCTCTCCAGCATGCGGGACACCAGACACAGCCGATCTATAAACCAACGGTTTGGAACGCGAGAGCCACGCCGACTGTGGATCGGGCCATTCGATACTGGTAAAATACGTTTCCTCCTAACAAACACATCAGACGATATCGAGATAAAAGGTCGTGCAAGAAATCCATACATTTCCCTCCCCACAATCCATCATCTCTTCATCATCCGCGAAACCCATCTCAAATCCTCCCAATCTCAATAATTTCCTCTGCCAACTGCGATTTCCATCAAAAAGAAAAAAAATAAACAATCCCAAGAACTAAATGCAATAGCCCAAGAACCAAATCTTCATCGTGATAAACAAGACTAGGTACCCAGATGAAACTCGGATAAAAACCCCAAATATCTCTCTCAGAGACATACTCGTTCCCGAATCTTCTATTCGATGCAAAATCTAGAGGAATCGAGATGATGTTTCGTTTCGTGTCGAATGTGATTTGGTATGAACATGACACCATCGCAATGAGACGAACAAGTTACACCACATGTTGGAGTGCAGGTTCCGTCGCGTTTACATAGTAGATAGCGAGTACCTATACATGCCGTAATTTCCGCGCTGCAGATATCACATCTATGACCTTCCAATATCAAACGCGGCGGATCTAGTCGAAGAAAGAGTGCGAGGTTAGATATGACTCCCTTGCATGAATATCAAGAAGCACTCCAAGAACCGCTTTTCTTATATAGATATGTTCGGGTTTATGGATTCCGCGGTTATTGTCTTGATTAATTAACGACTCAATAAATCCCCCTACCCCACGATCTTTCTGTCTATCTCTTGCTATCCATCTCACATTCTCCGTTATGATGCATATAGATAGATAGATAGATAGATAGATACAATATACGACCCCTAGCACCGCACGACACAGCACCAGAAACCCCACACACATATAAAACCACAGTCTATCTATCTAGCACCACACCCTCCATCAAACACCGAGACCTACAAATAAAACCTTCGCCGTGCATTATATATCAACAACGACCAACAAACATACACTACATAGTTCTTACATCCCCATCCTATCTCACAAAATACCGCCACAATCCCAAGAACCCGGGTTTGCTGCAATCCAAACGTATTTAACTTTATCCTTCATGCAGCCTTATCAAACCAAACCACCGCCACAATAATCAATGTCCCCAAACCCTGGTTTACCGGAATTTACCCTCATATAAGATTTCATATTTGCGTGTATCATTTCATCACTAGACAGACAAAGCATCATAACATAAATAAACATTCGAGATGGGAATGTGGGATCGAATCGATATGTCCTGGAATGTGGACTGTTATCGGCCACTCGCGCGACCCTAGAATAGGTAACTTTCCATCGTCAGGGGTGTACGTTTTTTACAACGTGCCCTCTTTTTTTCAACAGATAGAGTATGTGTATACCTAACACAATAGAGTTTTGTAGAAGGGTAAAGAGAATATCCCGTAGAATAATGACACTTTCCTTTTCACATTTCTTGAATTCAATTCAATTCAATTCCATTCCATTCCATTCAGCGCAAAAGTAGGAAAAGATTATTTACTGCTCTAATCAGAGAAGTATAGATAGATTATCAACAGAAGCGAATACCTAATGTGAAGTACTATCTCTGATAAGATTGAAAATTAAAAATAGAAAACAAATAAATGGAAAAGGAATGGTACGTACACATGAGAGTCAAATACAAGGTTTAGCTAAGTCATTAGACTTCGCTTCGTTCAAATCTAGATCTAAATCTGAAACTTATCTTTGGATTTTAGTTCTTTTCTATTTTTGACTTTGTTAGAATAAGTTCCTCTTTATTAAGTATTTGCTTTCGTTGAAGTTGCATCGAAGAGATAACGTAGCTCCTTTACAAGTGTAATGTGTGTAATCTATAAGACAAAACGTTCTCGCACGTTTCTTACTCTCTTAAGGATGGTGGTAAAGTATCAGTTGGTGTATGATGTAGATAGTGAAAGACTAACCACTCAATTTCGGATTAAATTGGTGATGATGGTTCTATATCTAGACCGGGTTTTTGTCATACACTTCACTAGCAGTATGAGCCCTGCAGCTGAATGAACATACCTCAGGTGGAAATTCGTGATGTATAACCAAGATGAGTATAAATCCAGTGACGCTTAAATGACTATTTGAACACCACTAGATTCCCCCAAGCTAAGTAAGACAAATTATGATGACATAAAGTAGGTTTCGGCAAGGTGCGTACCGAATTGACCACTGTTGATAGCAGCATGCTTATTGTAGCGTAATGTATCTCCAGAGTAAGTTCCTTGGAGTATTTCCGCTGGGCTATTCCCATGAGAGACCTTTAGTGGCAAGACGAAAAAAAAAACAGTGCACTTGCGTATTCCTATCTTAGCTGTCGACGGGAAGAATTTATGATGAAGCTTTCGTGATGTGGAAGAGAATCTTAAGAATGCCGCAATGTTTACGATAGGAAGGAAAGTGAACACGTGAGCGGGCCGATCGGATTTGCACAACCTCCAGCCACTGGGCCGTCATATCCGATGTTTGAAATACTTGACTGCTTTTTTTGAAGCCAAACAATCAAGCGACTCATTAATTAACTTGAGGCTGAATCTGTTCCTTACATCAAACATATCGACGACTATGACTTCATAGGTAATTATTGCTTGTTATGAGGCATAATTCTGTAGATAGCTCGCAAGTGTACTACCGGTACTCTGGAGTAGGTAGTAGCATAAACTTTATACAGACCATGCAAGGATGAATAGGCAGAACAAATAGGATAAATAAAGGTGGTAATGCAAGCAACGAATGGCAATGCGGTACCTTGATTTAGTCAGGGGTAAAGTATGCCAAGGAGCGGCGGTGGAAACAGTTTGTTAACGGCATAAAGGAGATGGATGGCTCAGCCCGCATCTCTATTAGGTCGCTTCTATCGTATCGTTTTGCGCCGGTTTTCTTCTAAGACCAGAGCCAGTGATTGATGATGGGTGGTCTTAGAGGTTGAGATTTATTATGAATGAATAAGTGTGAAGGAAATGAAATGTGAGGATACGACTCATACGAGCGATTGAGATTGGGTTGTTGTCGATCTGATTTTGAATTGATTTGGTCTGGATGTTCTTAACTTCTTGGGGGGTTTGTGGTGAGATATATTTAGAGTTACTGCATTCGTATCTGTTTCGCTGGCCCACGTTGGATGTGGGATGAATGTGGAACATCATCAGGCGGGTGAAAACAGTTGGAAGTTGTGATGGCAACGTGGAAATATCTTGACTTCGTATACTTGAATGGCCGAGTAACCTTAAAGCAAGGAACAACGAGGATTGAATCGAATGGTAGTCACGCTTCTCCACAAGTATGGATTTACCGTGTGAGCATTACCTAGTATCCATGATGGATAAAGTGTGACGGGAGAATCCTGCAGTGGGACATCTGTGGCCCTTGAAGCTGGATCATCTGGATTCTGATTGTGGCACGAAATGGGATGAATGTCGGAATTCTTGAGGGAATTTTCCTCGTCAGCCTTTCAACAACTCTACCTACCACGCATTCCCAAGCTGTCACTACTGGACCCCCAAATCCCTCACTGCCATGCCATGCCATGTGTCCCATGATAGAAACAGCATGATCATGGATTCATCATGGATTCATCATGCTGTTACCCCACTATGAAAACAAACTATTACCACGCTGTTGTGAGATTAAAATTTGAGACTCGTCATGAACCACGACTGGAATCAATAACTCCAAGATCCCCAGATCATAGATCACGACATGGGAAAATTATCTATCGTGATTGTTATCGTGACCCATCAAGCTTGAATAGGAGACTTGTCAAAAATCATGAGGTCCGTCTCCAGCCCAGCCCAGCCGTTTAGAACTTTAGATAGGATGTTGAAACGATACCCCTGAGTTTGTGAACGGTCTCGATTCCACCACGTCCTAGGGAATCCAGTATCAGAAAAGGGACCTTGGGACGAAACGATAGAAACTCGCATGGGATGAAGATGAACGATAAGCTGAGCCTACTGCGTACCTCACTCACTCACTCACAGGCTCAGCGGTAGTAACAGTTGATCGAATTCTCGCTCGCACTCTCTGAAGTACCTCCCTGATACCTATTGACGAATTGGCCTTGGGTAAGGTGAAACTAGGGCACGGGACTCTGTTCTAACTTCTAGAGTTGGGTTGGACAATATCCCGAGACCGAATATTGAAAGATCTCCGACCATCTTCTCCAAGCTTTTCCAGGTCTCTAGGTCTCTACTCTAGAAATGGGAAGAATCAGTGGAGTTTTTTGGAGATATTTTACTGCTGGAGGTTATTTGGCTACGTGCTCTTCATCTAACATGCAGTGGCGTAGCCGAAATTAGAGGTTTGGAAGAAAAGAGCGGATGTAGAAATGATTCCTTCTGGTTCAATGAAGTGGAGATGTTTCGGTGGAAAGGCACGGAATTCTCTTGGAAGATGGGATTTTATTTATTGCAGTGAGTTATGGGATGGTACTTGGTGGTGAGTGGTGGGTAGTGCGTGGTGGTGAGTGGTGGGTAGTGCGTGGTAGGTGAGTAGTGAGTTGTAAGAATGAAAATGGCGTTGTGATGGGATGAACAGCAAATGAACAGATTGATTTATGGAGAGGTGATTTGGAGAATTGGAATTGGAGAATGGGAGAATTGATTGTCAGATGGTCAGGTCTAATAAGAATGTATAGATCCGTAGGATCAGGACGTGTGTACTGGTAATATAGATGATAGATGGATAATAGATATTACATAGATATTACATAGATTTGCATAGACATTATATTAGGTAGACATGACATAGACATTATATAGATAATACCTGGTAGATAATCCGTCATAAATAATACTGTAACTACATAGAATTTTACCTCGGATTTTATTATCCATCCAAAGGATTTATCTTAGTCATAAGGGATCTTACTTGGGTAGGTAGGTATTCAATGATCATGGCAACGACAATTGACACTTCATGGTTACTAGGTGGCTAGTATTACCTAGTATCACCTGGGCATCCTTCGTTATCTGTATTAATCCAAATATCAAGCTTAAAAGCTTTAAAATGGACATATATTATCATAGCCACGAAGATACAATGGTTAGACCTTTTTTAAAATTTGTCAGAGGATATCATTGATTCTTTTGGTAGACCTTATTTAACCTGACTCCTAATTGAAAGACCTTTTCTTGGTGTTGTGTTGTGTGGTGTGGTGTGGTGTGGTGTGGTGTGGTGTACAGTGAGCACAGCAAGTAGGCACATCAATAAGTAAGTAGGCACTATGTATGGACAGTAACTCGAGAGTGAGTATACCTAGGTATCTAGGTACTATACTGTACCAATCTTCTATCTTAACTCCCCCCACCAATATTCGCAGCTTCTTCACTCACATCTCCACCAGAGTCCACTATACTGTCCAGAGTCCAGAGTCCATCTATACTGTCATCTATACTGTCCAGACTCCAGACTCCAGACTCACTCCAGTCAGACAAGACAACAAGACCATCTCAACCATCTCTACCACTTCTCTACCATCTCTATCCCTACTTCCACCCCATAAATATCTCTTGCCCGTCCAGCCAAGCCTCTAAATTCATCATCTCTAGGGAAAAAATAAAGAATCTTAAGATTTGACCTTCATCTGAGCGATCGATGACCCTATCACCGACAGTAATCAAAGTATAAAAGTATTTGGGGAGGAAGCGGAAGACGGAAGAACCAAAATTATCTCAATCATCTCCATTATCACCTGGGCAGACCCAATATCTTCCACTCCCCCCCATGCTGCAAATCCCGAAATCAAAATGAATCTCAATGTTTTGGAGTTCATCTCTTATATTATATGTTACCAAATATGGTTAGACCCGACGCTAGTACTGACAAGGTGACAAGGTGAGCAGGGGTGAGGACCGGCCCAAGCTAGGATATTTCCCTTAGCGTCTGCCATTTGTGGCCTTGTCATTGGCTCGTGAAATTGTTTTGTACCTGAATCTAATTTCGATGCTTGGCTCTGAGTGGTCTGGCACCCTTGTTCACCCCTTCTTGCTTTCGTTCCCTTAGCCACGTCCGCCTCCTGGTCCTCCTCTGTTTTCTTATACTCCGTGCGATTCTGCGTTTACCTTGGAAAGACTTCTCATCTTATTCGTGATACTTCTCCCTTTAACCACCTCACTCCTTCAGACCTCATCAACCCTCTTTTTCCCCTCGCAAAGCATTCCCTCCCAACTGAGAGTTGTTATCATACCCAGATAATCATCAACTCTCTACCACATTCATTTGGAACAGCGACTTTTATCTCAACAGCAATCACAATCTTCTCTCGTCCTGCAAAATTCAATTAACAGATCAAATCAATTCAAATTCAATTCAAAATACTCCATCACCCTCAACTATCCTTTACAATCCTTCCCTCCCTCTCTCCCCATAGCGACCCTTTTTTACATCAACACTTAATTTGTTCATCTCTCCCCCTTACAAATTATTCTCCATCCCCTAGCAACAGACCTTTCATTTAGAGTGAATCGTTCAAATTAAGTCAGAAAGACCCATAGCCAAGGTATGTGCTGCGAGTTCTCGTGTTTTTTATTTATTCACCGTCCCGCCATGCTCCATTTAAATCTCATTTCCCTGTCGACTCGTTTGTCTCTTGCCATTGCCATTGCTATCCAACTTCGCCTCGCCTTTCAATTTAGAAGAGTCAATTCGTCGCATCTGGGTTCGGAATGCTAATATCTTCTCTTCTTCTCCTTTGAAGTCAACCTCACTCGTTTACTCCGTCCAATTCAGTCGATATATTAAGAGCCTTTGAATTTCCGAGTCAAGAAAACCTTTCGTCTATCCATATCGCAAGAGTTCACTTCTTCACAATGAAGTTCACCCCAGTTTCTGTTGCGCTTCTCAGCGTTGCCGGTGTTGCAATTGCGCAACCACACAACCATCAACACCGTCACCCAGCGAGAGCAAACAAGGTCGCACGCGATAACACCATTGTCTCCGTGACAGAAGTTATGCCAGGTCCAGTCGAGACGGTCTACATGCTCAATGGAAAGGATATCTCTTTGGCCGAAGTTCAGGACGGATTGAAATCTGGAAAATATATTTTAGTGGGAGATGCTGTCGAAGATGCCCCTTCTGCTACTAACTGGTACACTGGTTCCCCATCTGTCGCGTCCACATCAGCTGCTCCCTCAACCACTCCAGCAGCTACCTCCACCAGTTCGATCGTCAAGGCTGCCGCGGAGTTCATTGAGGTTTCCTCATCTGCCTCTTCCACCAAGGCTGCATACACCCCGAAATCAAGCGCTGCATCATCCACTTCAGAATCAAGCTCTGTCGCCTCTGTCGCCTCTACCAGTGCGGCTGCTGCCTCCTCTTCAGCCAGTAGCGACAGTTCCTCTGATAGCTCCACTTCCTCCAGCAGCTCCGGCAACTGGCCTGACTTTCCAAGTGGCAAAATCCCTTGTTCCACTTTCCCATCCAATTATGGCCCAGTTGCTGTCGATTACCTTGGGTTAGATGGATGGATCGGTATCCAAAGCACCCCTGGTTACACCACCGCTGCTTCCTCGATCGTTACTATTAACACACTTACCAGCGGTGGATGTGTCAAGGGCGCATTCTGCTCGTATGCCTGCCCAGCGGGATACCAGAAATCTCAATGGCCTACCGCACAAGGAAGCACTGGTGAATCCATCGGTGGTCTTTACTGCAACTCCAACGGCATGCTCGAGTTGTCCCGAACTACCACCAAGCAACTCTGCACTGCTGGATCCGGATCCGTCAAGGTTGAGAACAAGCTCGACAGCATTGTGGCTGTTTGCCGTACTGATTACCCTGGTCTCGAGGCTGAGACCGTTCCATTGGCAACCTCCCCTGGACAAACCTATGACTTGACTTGCCCAGATGCCAGTAACTACTACTCATGGGAAGGACTTCCAACATCCGCACAATACTACATCAACCCACAAGGAGCTTCCACCTCTGAAGCCTGTGTTTGGGGTACTTCGGGTGGAAACCTTGGTAACTGGGCTCCTGTCAATGCTGGTGTTGGAAGAGATGCCTCTGGTACCACTTGGTTGTCAATCATCCCCAACACCCCAACCAACACATACGGTACCTTGAATTTCACCATCACTATCGAAGGTGACGTCTCCGGAAAATGTTCGTACAAATCAGGAACATACTACAACAATAATGTTGAGTCCTCAACAGGTTGCAACCGTAAGTTCATTGATCTATCTATAAGGTGTGGGGTCATAAACTAACAAGTTCTTTAGGTCTCCATTCTCTCGGGCGGAACCGCTACATACGTCTTCTCACCATAGGCGCTTGAGTTTCTCAATTTTCCCTTTGCAAAATTTCCGTTGCACATATTGTTGTTTTCTTTCCGCGCGCATATCCACAATTGCGGCTTATGATCGTTGTAGTCATTTTTTTCTTTACTCGCCCTCAAGTCATTCTAAGTCTCGGATGTTCGAACCCACGCTCGACTTGCAATGTTCAAACAAATTTGCCAATAAGATACCCCCTCCATCCGATCTCTGAATGTACTTCGTGTGGTAACTTTTCCTTTGTAATAAATGTCGCTAATGTTTTTACATTATTGAAGTGGAAGATATCTGGCCGTTGGAATACCACGTTCCAGATGGTTGTTATAAGCATGGATGGATTTCTTGAGGGGGGTTGGGGTTGTTGGTAGAAAAAAAGTTGTGTTCTCAGCAGATGAATGCTCATATGACGAATAGGAAAGCCCTCTTTCCTTGAAGCAATCACCTTGGTTAACTCTTCTATGTATCCGTTACTCATTTTGAAGGAGACGTGCTCCTGGTTCAGAGTGCCCCTTTATCCCTACGGCCTTTTTATCAATTTGCCGCAGGCACTCTTGCATATGTTTTCATACTGGCTACAAATGTTTGGACGGAGCGCGCATACGAAACAGAAATTACCACCATATCTCTCTTCCAAGGAGATGTGGTAGAGAGCTATAACACTTGTTTCATGTGGATGTGAATGGAAAATTTGACGGCAGAGGCTGCAGAATATGGTACATGTATCAATATAAAGTAGTCTAGTCGGCACAACACAGACAGGGAAAGGGAGATCAGTTACACTCTACTTATTCTACCTTTTCAAGAAAGATGTTGAGAAATTTTTGAGAACAGAAAAATCAAAAAAACAAGTAAATAGAACATTCAGATGAAGTGTGTGGCCTTTTTCGTGTATACAAATTAAAATCTCTTTGGTTTCTTATAACTTTCTTCGCTTTTCTTTCCTGATGATGTTCATATATGACTGTCTTTCTGCGCCTGTGAGTGTGAACATAAACGTGAATGATGGTCTCATCTTTGATCGATGTCGTCAACCTGTAGATTATAATTGATGTTTAGATCAGCAATGCCGGTAGATATATTGAGCCCTGCCGTTACTGATCGATCAAATGCCTGATATTCCCCTTTTTTTCGATACCTACCTACCTAGTAGGTATTTCTTTGACATATGATTCAGCCATCTGGTAGTAGTTTTATTAAATCCCTTCTATAATATTATATTATAGGTGGAAGAATGATTCTCTGTTGAACAACATGTTATAACTAACATCTTCGTCCATTTGATTATCTAAGTATCCAAATACTGTGACGGCAGCTCTGGCTGTTTGGAAGGAGATTTACTGTTGAGGAGTTTAAAGGCTAATCTTATGCTTAATTTTCACCCTACAGCAAAGACTACCGCAAAGAAACCCGGGACCCCACACCACCGACTTCTAGGCTAGATTCCTTTTAATAAATGTTCTCCGCCCTCGGCATAAAACTAGGTAGTTATTTAAAAGCTGCAAGAGCTGAAAGGAGCTCTTAGTATTTATTCCAGAGACTTTCGTTCTGCTTGGTTTTTGATCTTTGCTTTGGTTTAATTGTGATTACATACATAGGTTTATCATCGAGTTTCACAGAGGAGAGTGAGAGGGAAGCACGCAATTCGCCGAGCGATATACGTGCGCTGAGATTCTTTTGTTCCAAGGTTTCGTCTCCGAGTTTGGCTGCAAGACGCAGTGCGAGAGGTAGGGAAGAGGCGGCTTTGTTTTGTACCAGGTTGGAGTCTCTGGATCGATTGATCGATTGATCGATTGATCGATTGATCGATTGATTGGACAATTGCACTCGGGTTGCACGAGAGCGATTGCGGTAATTGGTTGATTGAGAAGCTGCAGCTAAATCTATCTGCAAGCGGAGAAATTGCGCGGTGGGATAGTATAGTGTGCGTGCTGGGATAGGATAGGATAGTAGGTGCCTGGGACGTTGTGTTGGGGCTGTAATGGAGAGTACAAAGAGACCGGATGGGATCGAGGGGAGGATAAATTCGCAGTCGCAGGTTTCGTTGGATATAAGTACGACGAATTCGAGTTCGCAGACGGATTTGAATAGGATACGAACGGATGCGAATGATCATGCGCGCTCGACAGATACATTACAATTGAGACCGAATACTCCGAAGGCGAATATTGAGATTGGATCGAGCTCGAGTATACATCAAGGACAGAGTCCGAGTCCGCGAACGGGTAGTAGGAGTGGAAGCAGGAGTGGGAGTGTTAGTGCTCAAGGGAGCCAGAGGATTAAAGAGGGGAAGAGACAGAGGATTGATAGTATTTTGGAAGAGGCGAGGAATAGGAAGATTACAATGGAGACCCCTGGGGATGGGGAGGAGAGTCAGAGTCCTGCGAGGGGAGTGGATGGATATGAGAATGAAAATGAGAATGGGCATGGGATTGGAAATGGAAATGGACATGGGCATACAAATGGTAAAGAAAGCAGAGGGGAAAGTAGCGCAGATGAAGAAACGAGTGTATTAAGACGCGGACCCGATATGAGCTATGGAGGCGTCAGCGGCGGAACTACAGCGATAACCGCAGATACGAATAATGGAAACAACAGCACGAGGAGGAAACTCGGAGCAAAGGACCCAAACAAGAGAGGAGGCGTATGGGGAACGGGAAGAGGGAGAGGACTTTCAGGGACCGAGGCTGAAGGGGTAATTACTGAAGATGAGAGTAGGACGAAGCGAAGTGGAAAGATAGGAAAATGGTGGAAGAGAATGATGGATGAATATGGAAGTATTGAGTTGGAAAATAAGGGGAGTGTTGCGAGGGATCATTTGGCACTTGGTTTGTGGTTTCTTTCTCTCGCTAAATTCAGATCACACGACTCGTTTGTCACACGTCTGAGGATGGACATGTATTGATTTGTTATGTTGCTAACTATGGGGTGTGGATAGAAAGAACATTTTTAGCTTGGTTGCGAACTTCCCTCGCCTTCGCTAGTATCGGAATTGCAATCACTCAACTGTACGTCTCTTTCCCTCCCCCGCCTTCTCACTCCCCACTAACCTTCTTCCTCCCTAGATTCCGCCTTAATACTTCAAGCTCCACTACCCCCGCCCCACCAGAGCCTAAAAGCAGTCTCCGCCATCTTGGCAAACCCCTAGGCGCCACTTTTGTGGGAATATCGATTCTCATGCTCTCAGTAGGGTTTCATCGATATTTTGAGGGGCAGTTCTATATTATTCGAGGAAAATTCCCAGCTAGTAGGGGCAGTATTGCGCTTGTGGCAATGATTACAGGTGCATTGATGGTGACGAGTTTGGTGGTTGTGGTGGTGGGTAATAGGGGGGGATTCGAGAAGTAAAACAGTGAGAGGGATATGAGGGGACTCTCATGGAGAGAAAGTTTAATGAGGTTGATGATAAAATGGACTGTATATCACGTTTAGCACTCACATGTTGATAATTGGAGGATTGGGCTGGAGTTTTATCATTTCCAGGGATTTTGTACACTTTTCATTACTCTTGACGTAAAACAGGCATGCCAATGCAGATATGAAATATGATGGATACATACCAGGCTATGAAGTCGTCATGGCTATTGAGTGATTTCATTCATCAACGTTTAGAGCAAACCGTCGTACGATTGAAAGACAAGCAGGCTAGTGCTGATGCTCATGTGTCTTGTTGGGAATCCTGGGATGTGTATCATACTATCATCTTGCACAATGGAGAATGGTTGGTTTGATTCTGCGTATTCGTTGATGAATACCCTTCACTTTATGAGTAAGGTATCCCAGGCTATCATCACATAATGACCTTCCTAATTCGGTCATTGTCATCACCAGGGATTTACAGCATTCGCTAACCCCCAGCAAGTACCTAGACGAGCTAGATAAGCTTATGAAGCACAGACTTGCGTGTCATCCTCCGAGCCTCCGTGATGCCGTCTCTTTTGCTCCAATTTAACAAGCTCTATTTAAGGAGCTAGCCCTATGGACTCTTGTGCATGCTTGCTTTATCAATTTGGTCTACCTGAGATCGGATTACAGCAACGCAACTGATTTTTCCAACGTCCTGAAATAGAACTAGATATTGCTTGCCCCGACGGCAATCGACTTGGATTGAAACAGTCAAGATTTCAAGCATGCAAAATGCCTTTCTTCAATGGAGGGGAGAATCTGCTCCAGATGAATCAAGAGGAGTTTGATTTCAGTATCCAGTTTGAGCAGTTGTTCTTCTCCATTATACCCTCTGCCTTGTTCATCGTGATAGCATGTTGGCGGATGGGTTCTCGGGCTCGGAAGCCCACGGTTGTAAATGCGCCGGGGTTTCAACTTGTCAAAGTGGTATGTTTTAGTTTGATTCGAGCTCAAGGATATAGAGGGATGATAATCGAGTGCTGATTGAAGTGTCGTAGGGTGCTATCGTGATATATGTCGCTCTGGAACTGTCACTTCTGGTTTTTGCTGCGGTTGCATCTTTGCATGTGTCTAGCATGTTTGTAGCGGCGTCGGCTCTCAAGTTGGTAGCTGGCCTGTGCATGATACCCCTAAGTGTCATTGATCATAGCAGAAGTCCAAGGCCGTCGGTAGTGTTGAATAGTTACTTGTTTTTTACTCTTCTGTTGGATGCGGCTCAGGCAAGAACACTCTTCCTGTCGTCGGACAACAAGTCCGGGCTTGTTTACAGCAGTATCTTCATAGCCGCTCTGGCTCTCAAATGTGTAATCCTGCTTTTGGAATCACGACAAAAGTCCAAATGGGTAAGCTGGAATGAGAAAGAGCATAGTCCGGAAGAGACGAGCGGTATATTTTCGCTCGGTGTGTTCTTCTGGCTCAATAAGATGTTTTTGATGGGATACAACAAGGTTTTAGCGATTGAAGATCTTTATCCTTTAGATAGCTCTTTCGATGCGAAATCACTGCACGATGGGTTCTCCAAGAATATAGATTATTCTAAACTGAAAGGCGATAAGTTTGGTCTTTTGAAGGTGCTAATTCGCACGTTAAAAGTCCCTCTTTTACTTCCTATACCGTTGCGCCTAGCACTTATTGCTTTCACGTTTTGTCAACCTCTTTTTATAGAAAGACTGTTGGATACCTTGGCCCAGCCTGAAATTGATGCGAACGTTGGGTATGGATTCATTGGCGCCAGCGTATTCATCTACTCTGGAATTGCTATCTCAAGGGCCTTCTATTGGTATGTTATAAACCACGGTTAAAAATCTACGACACTGATCACTAACACTTATCTGTAGGTACCTTCACCATCGAACACGTACTATGGCAAGATCAATATTGGCCACAGAAACTTACATTAATGTCACCAAAGCTCGTATTGGAGCTGATGACGACAGCGCGGCGCTTACTTTGATGAGCACTGATATAGAGCGAATCAAGATGGGTATGAGAAATCTGCACGAAGTTTGGGCCAGTATTGTCCAGGCCACAATTGCAGGGTGGATGTTATACACTCGACTTGGTCTGGTGTTCATTGCACCAATGGGACTCGTTATAGTTTGCTTTTTCGGCTTGGCAATCCTAATGAATTTTGCTGGAGATTCGCAGAGGAGTTGGATGTCGGGCGTCCAGAAACGTGTGGGTTTAACGGCTACAGTCATCGCCAGCATGAAAAACCTGAAGATATCTGGACTCTCTGGCACCGTCAGTGACTTTGTCCAGAAACTTCGCGTCGAGGAACTTGCGGCCGGAGCACGATTTCGCAAAATATTCATCATTGCGGCGCTTTTTGGCTTTATTCCCCTGCTGATTGGTCCGCCGCTAACCTTTGCATTTACTTCGAAAACACTGGATGCTTCGAGGGTCTTTACGAGTCTTTCTTTTCTTACGCTTCTCACGGTTCCGCTATCTAAAATATTTCAATCTGCTCCGGAGCTCATCTCTGGGCTAGCCTGTCTCGGACGTATTCAGGCCTTTTTAGAGTGCGAAAATCGTCATGATTTCCGCAAAGTACTAACTGATAGAAAGCTGGACGCAGAGAAGATCAGAACTGATATTGTAGCTTCCTCAGACTCGGAACTAGATTTGGCGCCTCCTATTGTTATCCAAAATGGAAAGTTTGGTTGGGAGGAAGATACTTTCGTTTTACGAGACATGAATGTTGAAGTACCAAAATCCTCGCTCACTATTGTTGTTGGACCTATTGGGTCTGGAAAATCGACACTCTGTAAGGCACTGCTTGGAGAAATTCCTTTCAGCGAAGGTAATGTGTCTTTGAGCACTAGATTTCCCCACGTTGGATTCTGCGAACAAGCAGCTTTTCTCTATAACGGGACGGTTAGGGACAATATCATAGGGTTTCTCATTTTGATAGTGAGAGATATGCTGAAGTAATCAATGCTACCTCGCTAGTCTTTGATCTAGCAACACTCCCACTCGGAGATCAAACAAATATTGGATCCGATGGAATCATTTTGTCAGGAGGTCAGAAGCAACGGGTTTCTCTTGCACGAGCCCTATACTTGCAGTCTGACCTACTGGTACTAGACGATGTATTTAGTGGTTTAGATGCGGATACCGAGGAAAAGGTGTTCCAGCAGGTTTTTGGTGCTAGTGGGCTACTACGAAAACGACGATGCACAGTCGTGCTTTGCACTCATAGCGTTAGACATTTACCAGCAGCAGACTACATTATCACGCTTGGAGAAGGCACTATTATAGAGCAAGGTAGTTTCAATGAGTTGATGAGAAAACAAGGTTATGTTCAACGTCTAGGATTGAAGAATTCTTCTGATAGTGAGGTTTCGTCGGAGGATATAACGTCGAAGGATAGCGTCCGTCAATCAGAGCCACATGTGCTAGAGGCGACGAAGACGGCTGAAACGTCGCTTGCACCGGAAGTAGATAAATCTCGTCAAATGGGTGATGGGACGGTATACAAACACTACTTTTTGAGCATGGGCTGGTTTTCAGCAGTGTGTAGTTTGTTCTTTGCTGCTCTTTGGGGCTTCTTCACTAATTTCCCTGCAATTTGTAAGTTGGTTCTACTCATGGATAGTGAGATTTCAAACAGATTGCCATGTTGAGCTAAATCATCGGAATCTTATTCAAACCACAAAGTTTCATAGCACTAATGTCACGAATCACAGGGCTCGATTATTGGACCGACGACACTTTCTCTAAATCTCACGCTTACTACGCTGGGATATACGCTTTACTTCAAATTAGCGGTCTCATCTCATTACTTCTTCTTGGCATCACACTTTTCATCGTTTCTGTTAAAAAAGCGGGTGCTAAACTTCACCATGATGCTTTGCGAACACTGATCCGAGCACCACTGCGATTTTTTACCAAGACGGATACCGGGGTTGTAACGAACCTCTTTTCTCAAGATCTAAATCTTATAGATACCGAGTTGCCAGATGCAACGCTGAACACTTTATTTTGTGTGAGTTTCTCATGTATCTTGACGTCGTCAATACCCTCGAAGGGAATTCATATGTGCTGTAGTCTAACGCGAATGTTTCAGGTGTTTCAAGCAGTCGGTCAAATGGCAGTTATGCTCACTTCGTCTGTGTACTTGGCTATAAGCTACCCGCTTCTGGGCGCTTTGCTTTACGTTGTGCAGCGATTTTACCTGCGAACGTCTCGACAGCTCAGGTTGCTGGATCTTGAGGCGAAAAGTCCTTTGTAGTAAGTTTAGCGCCAAAATGTCATTTCTTGATAAGTTGTTCTGCTCATGCTAATTTGTGGTTGTTTAGCACGCATTTTCTTGATACTCTCAGGGGTATTGCTACATTGAGAGCTTTTGGTGAGTAATGTCTAAATTCATGAGTCAAAATCGCATTTTCAATAATTTTGCAATAACATTCTGTGTTCAGGAAAGTCGTTGTTGCTAATGCTTAAACTAAACAGGTTTTGTTTCCGATGATGTTCAAAAGAATGCTCGTCTCATCAACGCTAGTCAACGACCCGCCTATTTCCTGCTCATGATTCAAGAATGGCTCAACCTTGTTCTTGATCTCGTCGTCATGGCAATGGCGGTAGTTGTGACAACACTTGCCGTTCGACTTCATTCCGATTCTGGGTTTGCTGGTGCTTCGTTATACACACTCATTAGTTTTGGAGAGAATCTTTCGGGTATTGTCACTTATTATACTAAGCTGGAAACTTCCATTGGAGCAATTGCTCGATTGAAGATGTTTAATGAGAATGTTAAGCCCGAGGATAAGGATGAAGAGAACATTGTTCCTCCTGAACATTGGCCTCATAGTGGCGTGGTTGAATTGAAGGGTATATCTGCAGGTTACGAGTAAGAGACGAGAGTCCTAATGGACGCAATGTCTATTATTGAGTAAAGCTAATACCTTTAACAGTGTGGAAGATACAACCGATAGCACAACCAGCTTAGCTCTTCGTGACATCAATCTCACCATCACATCCGGCGAGAAAATCGCAATTTGTGGTCGCACCGGCAGCGGAAAATCCAGTCTAATCGCGCTCCTCCTCAAACTGCTCGACCCCACTCACGAAACCGCCGCAAACGCAATCATCGACAACATACCGCTTCGCCGCATCAACCGCGACTCTCTCCGTCAGCGCATCATTGCCGTTCCCCAAGAAGCAGTCTTCCTCCCCGACGGCACCACCTTCCAAACCAATCTCGATCCCTCCCACATCTCCACTCCCACAGAATGTCGCGCCGTCCTCGAAACCGTCGATCTCTGGTCTTTTATCCAAGAACGCGGGGGATTGGACGCGGGTATGAATGCGTCGACTCTTAGCGCGGGACAGCGACAACTTTTTTCTCTCGGACGCGCGCTTCTTCGACGGAGGATTCGTGCGAGGAATTTCGGGAGAGGAGGAGGGGGGGGTGAGAAGGGGATTTTGCTGCTAGATGAGGTGAGCTCGAGTGTGGATCTGCAGACGGAAAGGGTCATGGCGGGGGTTATTCGAGAGGAGTTTCGGGGGTATACGGTGGTGGCGGTTAGTCATCGGTTGGAGATGGTGATGGATTATGGGAGGGTGGTGGTGATGGATCGGGGGGGTGGTGGTGGAGGTGGGGAAGCCGGAGGTCTTGGCGCGAGAAGAGGGGAGTAGGTTTGGGGAGTTGGTTAGGGCGGCGGGATAGCGGGGTAGGGTAAGGCATTCTTAGTCTAATCGTCGCTTTTCCCGACGAGCAGAGTGACTCTTACAGTAGACTATTATGAAGGCTTGTACAAGGTATGTTTATGTAAATATAATAATTATATATATCTATTAATAAGTAGTTCAAATAAAAATAATATAAAATAAATATATCAAAATATCAAAATATCAAATCTGTATATATACACATCTTATATCTATTTTACATTAATTACAAATCTTCTTAATCTTTTCTAATATATAGTCTTTGATTATAATAAGAACATTTATTCTCTAAGACTATATATTAGGTTTAGTACATGTGAGGGCGCACGTACCCTCTGGTCACATGACTCGGCTCTACTAGTCATTTTAGCTAGCCTTTCGTATAAGTTGGAAGCGAAGCTTTCAACTTTCTTTTAATCCTTTATTAATAACTATATTTACCAATCACAACCTTTCTTCAGTTCCGTACCCTTTATAGTACAAACCCCCATACAGACTCTTAAAGTAGCCTACAGTCCGAGTCTCTAAAGAGACGAGGAAACTTCAGAATAAGGATAGAGAGGGTATCTTGAAATGGAAAGAAGAATGATAATGGGAATCGAAAGGGGAATTGAGATGTATCGTATAATAATGAAGTGCTTAAAACGAATTACCTAACTAACATTAACAAATATAGCTGTATCTATGAGTGCGTTTTTCCAAGCTCGAGAGCTAGGTGGTGCTTTGGGTATCGCTATCTGTTCCAATGTTTTAAATAGAAAGATTAAATCCTTATTGAAAGGAGAGGTCACAGCAATGCAGCTTGAGGCACTGCTCAAATCATCTCAAGACATATCAATTCTACCAGCATCACTGCAGGAGGATGTGAGATTGGCGTATGCGGCCGGATTTAGTGAGCAATTGAAGGTTCTAGTAGGATTGAGTGGCTGTGGAATACTGGCTACATTTCTTCTCTGGGAAAAACCTCTGAGGAAGGTGGTACTTTGAGCAACTGCAAAGGCCCAGAGTCAAACTTACATAACACTCATTAAAATGAAATGGAAACAAAACGCTGTTTTAAAAGTATCATCCTGATATTTTCATTGCATAAATAAGGTACTAATAGCCCGAGGACCACGATATTTCAGTGCTTCAGCCATCGAAAAGTCGCCAATGCCACTACAACGGCACCAATCCACTTAGACCACTTGATGAAGAAATTAAACACCATGGAAAGCACAAACAGCCTGTGTGTATCATTTCCCGCGTTGACATACGGATAAGGTTCATTTGGAACAGGCTTGCCCAAAAAATTACAGAGTAATTCCCAACCATCTTTGGGTGAGAACTCAAGAAGTCTTCCGCCAGCAAGTCTTCTGATTTTCTCACTATGAGCAATAAATCCTGCGCGAAGAGCTTTGCGATCTTCCGGCTCGCCACCGGACCAGTCAGTGAGTGCGATTATGAGAAGTTGACGGAATGGGAGAGCTTCCTATGTTTGTACTTGGTTAACATTGACAGGCTAGACTTTTATTTGATTTTTAAAAATTTACATACTGGCAGAATAATCTTTAACAAGGGTCAGATGCGCGAGTGTATAACAGCATATATTGATCTCTCCACCGATTCAATCCACTTATCTGGATCTCTCGTGGTCAAAATGACTTTCGCAGCTGGATATGCCGCCAGGAGTTCTTCAGAAAAATTCACAGCTGGCATATCTGTGGTAGCCTATCGGAATGATTCAGCATACATTTGAGTAATGAGATAGTTTTTAACAAAAGACTAACGCTAAAGTTGGTAAGAATCTTATCAAATTCCTCACGACCGAAAGGTTTGCCATTTCCGTTCAACTTGGCGTCGAAGCCTTCCAACCATAGGGAGATATGACCTTTTGTGGGTGCTGCAACTCGACAATGATAAGTTCTGTAGCCTAGTTTGTTGAGTGATTCTTGTAGTGCTAAAGGAAGTCAGTACAATGAAGTCATTTACTAATTCTGTGCGAGACTCACACATCGTGGAAGTACGAGAGAGTCCCAAACAAAGCACTTGCATGTCAAGCGCCCGCTGTTTAATAACTGGCAGGTTATCAATCTTTCGAGGTGAAGCCATGTCTATACAATTTCCGTATCAAATTTCACTGATTTGATTTTTTGAGTTTGTCGACTTTACTGTCCTGCTCTTCCGAAAGTATCAAAGCAGTTCACAACCGACGTACAAACGAGATATTCTAGCTCCCACTCGTCAAAATTCACTGGGTATATTTGTTGTGTATGGATGTGGCACAGTAAGCGGGGTAATCATGCAGTCCCCTCGGGCTGTTTTCTGCGCGCTTTCCCCGGGGCTTAGAGTGGGCATACCTAGTCTGGATTCAAGAGTAGAAACTCGACAGCCTTACCAAATGGTAAAATTTGAACGTCCTCCACACACAGGCTGACGGAGTATGCTATCGTACGGAATGATATAGATTTTGTTTCGCTTATTTCTCTCGGAATACAAACACGTAACATGATACTGGGCGTGTTGTGGTCAATCCGCATGCTTTATTGGTGGATCAGCACATCCTACACCGTCTGCCAAAAGAGGTATTCCAAATCACATGTCAAGATCGAATAAAAGTTCAGTACACCCACAGGTGTGTAGAATACACTATCTGCAGAGCTTCACGCTGCCCTGTGCCAAAGAACATTCCTTGCAGCACCTTTTTTTAGCACCTGCTTCCACCCCCCGTCGCTGTTGCTGTTGCCGTAGGAATGTGTTAAAGTCCAGCAATTGAGGTTTTCTCGGATTGCTTGACCGAGATTTGTGCAGAATCAAGCTTTTAGAAATTTTCTATGTGTAACAAGAAAACAAGCCCATGGTATTACTTCGCCGTTGCGCAGTAGAAGAAAAGTGGATGTCGTGCCAAGTCCCGTGTAACAGAAAGTGCTTGAGGGGCTGTAACTTCTTCGGTGTTTTTTCATAGGTTGAGATGTGTAGGTTGTGATGCGGCGAAGAAGCCATGCAATCCTCTTACCATTCCTGCTTCATCAAAACTTGCAGCACCTATTTGGTGGCCGGTGCAGGTAATTCGGGCTCAGACTGGGTGCTTGGTCTGAATATATCATTGGCAAATTGCAGATCCAAAGATTATACTGTATCAATATCATTGTACGTTCAACAAGGTCTTGAATGTACATGGAGCTGACTCTATCGATTGCCCGAGTGGCAGATTAAAACTTGGTATTGAGCTGCATTGTGAATGCCTAGAATTGGCAGCAACTGCTCGACAACAGAGCGGGTTCGTTCTCAGGATCAATGGATTCCTGAGGACCTATCGCAGTAGAAAGCAACAATGGTGTTACCACGTTGCCATGTTGATTGATTTTGTGAGATTTGAGAGGATTGATGAGTAGTCTTCATTCACATAGATGTGAAATCTATGTGTAAGTTACACAAGTAGGTGATATCGTCCCAACAGATCAACCATAAGGCTTAGAAATCTTTGTCTGCTCAATGAATTTGTTCCTTTCGCTCTCCTCAAGTACCTGCATCCAAAAAATAAATTTTTGGACTTGTCACGTTTTCCTTTCACTGGGTGGAACAAGTAAAGTAGATGCCAATCTAGCCTTGCTGAGTTTTAGCTACTAAATGCTAGTATCCACATTTCATAGGCTTTTGAGAAGTTAGAATGGAAAACCGAAATACTTCTAGCTTTGAGTTGGGATATCGAGCGTTGAATAGTTTATTTGTGTTAGAATGCTGAATGTTGATTGCCGGGCTAGATTTAAACTTGAAGTTGGAACATCAGAATCTTTGTAGTGATTCTTGAATCATATGCCATCGTTATGATTATGTTTACCATTCCTTATTGAAGATATTGTAGTATATTTCGGCCAAAAATTGGAGGCTATCAGCTCTTGAGCACCTCGGTATTGCCCACTCAATGTACCCATTCTATATGTTTCCAGTGATCAGTGACCCTGCACAACTCCAGAAACACCAATTCAAGAGTTCGAATAAAGGAAAAGATCCATAAACCAATCACTACTACTAGAGAAGAACTTCACCTGCTCATTTGAAAGAAACATCTGATTCAGACTCTCCAAATTCGGAGTCAATTTGATCTCCCACACAGGTCTTAGCGAACATGACATCATTGCCGTCTACGAAAACGTATTATTTTCTTCACTTCAAATATTACCCAGACCTTCTAATTCATCTACTCTTTTTAGGTTGTGGATTAGACGATCTGAATCAGAATTACATCTCATATTTCTGTAATGGTGCTTGGATCTGCATGAGTGGTTACTCGGAACAGTATGTTTAGATAGCGGAATAGTTGAGTGTATATTGAGAAGGAGAAGCCGATGTAAGAAGTAGGCAGTATTGTAAAGAAAGCATCGAACAAGGATAGTGAGGATTCGACTCAATAGTCATCATTAAACTCAACGCAACTAGCGAGTTCTCTATCAAACACTCTGTTGCCCAACTAGAGACCCAATGTGACGGAAAAGGTCTAGATCTTTTGATAAATAATGCCGTGATATCTCAATATACTCCTGGAATAGCGTGAACGTGAGATCTCACGACTATCAAAACGCATTCATAAGACAACCCGATTTCAAACTTCGCTAACCCTAACACAAGCGGAAACTCACAGAAAACTTGACCACAAACGTCCTTGGTGTCCACTGGGTCACTCAATTATTTCTACTACTTCATCAAAGGGAGATGTGAAGAAACTCGTAAATGTGTAGAATCCTCGTTTACCTCAAGAAAACCAGGCTCAATTCTAGCAAAACAAAGTACGAGCACAGTAGGCTCAATTGAATACCTATGCTTGCTATGTACAAGCTATACCCACGCAGGCCTGTATGATTACCAATACAGCGCTTAACGCTCTCACTATCCCATATGGTTTGGAATATGAGAGGGAGAGATTTGTGACCATTGCTCCTAGTCCTGGTGTATATTACACTTCTTTCTGTACGGTCTGCACAACTAGTAGCAATCAATACATGATAATCTAATCTTGGCACAGGGATGATGTAGAATGATTCAGTAGTCTCATATCCCTCATCTAGCAGACCTTGTATACACCCCCGTCCATCAAAACCCAAATACGCGATGCGCTTGGGAAAAGTGATGATCAGACAATATGTCAGGTTTCATAACAATGATGTATGGTACATTAGTAAAGTCATGAGCTCCTAATCCATAATATTAACCGAATCTGTCTTGAATCTAAAATTAAATCCTACCTCACCTAACATTCAATCACTCTGCTGTTTCTCTCTTCACGATCTCTCAATTACCTCCCTCTCCCTCTCAATCTTACTATCTCCAAGACTTACTCCAATCTCTTTTACAAGTAACCATCCTGGGATCAACGCTAATCCCCAAAGACCAAAGTTGAGATATACGCCCCCAATATCACCCATCACTGTAATGCTATTCAAACCGTACTATATATTTTGTTAGTTAAAACGTAATATGGATGACAATTTCACAGAATATAAGGGGAAACTTACACTGACAGCCTGAACGGCTGATTCAGTTCCTCGAAGTAGTGCTGCGATTCTTACTACCTCTTCAGGAGTCTTGGCGAGGTTTCCGACGAGGAAGTATCTAATTTTTGTTAGAGTTTAGTTATTTATAAATGTTTTCGTATGGGTGGAAAGTGAATTTTAGTGGGTGATAGAAACTCACAAGAATAGATAATTGAGTTGAAACCCAGAGACCCATCCTAAAAATAATAGAAAGGTTCTAACAAATGCTCCACCATCCGTCCAATCATATACTGGTAGCGGATTTTGTCCCCAGTAATTTGTGACCAGAACGGTTCCCCATATCCACCATACCTATAACATAGGAGTTAGTATCAAGATACTCGAAAATCAGAGAGCGGATGCTACTTACACCTTGCAATACCAAGATAACAATAAACGCCCACCTCGCTCTCTTCTTCAAAGACCACTTCTCCCGATCCAAGAACGCACCCAATAGATTACCAGAGATCATTGCCACAATACCCGAAAGAAACGAGCCTAATGCTCTTCCTCTAACACTAAGCCAAACAGATTCGTATGTAAACATAACCGCCTCACTATACACACCTTGCGCAATAACTGGCACCAACAACAAAAAATATTTACTTACAAACAATTTTGATGTAAGTTTTATTTCTCTCCAGCTTGATTCGGAAATGCGAAGATTGGGTATTACTCCATCAGTTCGCTGAACCTTATCAGGTGGTGTGAGGAGAAGTGCTGCGAAGGGTCCGAGGGCTTGTAGCGCGATGAATACAAGATATACATTATAGGATACCTTTCCTTTGCCCGAATTATCCGCATTAAGAGCCAGGTTAATCACGCCCCCAAGTACCTGTCCGGCAACACGGAAACTCAACCATAGCCCCAGGAATCTTCCCTGATTCTCTGGCTCCGGATAACTCAGCGCGATGGCTGCTTCAGCCATCCAGAATACACCAGCGGAAATACCGCAGAGGGTGGCACCGAGAAGTACAAGCCATTCGTTGCCATATCGATTATTGCAGTAGAGACCAGCGGCATAAGGGGCATAGCCCATGGTACCGAAAATGAGAGCGGCCTTGATACCGATATATTTAACGAGAACGGAGGAGAAGAAACAGGATAATACCATCAGGCAGAAAGTGAGAGCATTGGCGGCATTAACTAGATGAGGAGATTCTTCGCCACCGGCGCCGAGACTGTTCATGGCACCCCAGATACCTGGGGCCAGGAAGTTACAGATTCCAAGAATTATGGAGTTGTAGAGGGTGGAACGGTACCATTTTACTGTTATTTTATCAGCTTTGTATATACAGGAAAAGAGATATAAGAAGGAGAAACAAGAAGTACCTGGTTGCTTTTCCCTGACTATAGGTAGAGCTTCATTATCCGAAGATAATGAAGTATCGAGTGCTCCTGATTTATCCGACGCCATGATTCTCAATAAAGTGGAAAACAAGTAAAACCACGCAACAGAGAAGTAAAGATTTGATACTGGGGTCCTAGACCATTTTATTTATCCAAGATTATCTCAGATATGCACGCACGGTACTCATGTTGAGCTCAAGTGTCGGCACACATATATTTTCCGCGTCGTTTACATGGCGTGACGAGCACGAAATCGAAACCTTGTCATGACGAACATCATACTCGAACTAACGGTGTACTAGGGGGATTTGGCAAACGATAAGCAGATACGCTTGCCTAAATTCCTCTATCAGATCCGTCGCGAAAATGTTTAAATCTTTTTTGCGAGGTTTCTTTTAGGTTGGGTTCATCTAGACTTCTCTTTTGGAAAGAAAAGTCAAATCTTGAACTTCCTGGTCTGAACCAAATTACTGGATTTGATCTGGAGATGGGGGGTATTGGAAATTCAGAATTGACAGTTTCAGAGCCCGAAAAAGTCGAGCAGCAGAGTTTTGTGTCCAACAGGCCCTTGCCATGTCGCGAAGATTGTGGTGAAAAATTTGTATAATATTAAAAATTCGATGTTATCTGACACGATCTACTCTATAAGCCTTCAAACCATTCTTCATGATAACTTCTCAAATCAATCTGATCCGGGCGTTTGAGATATGGAGTCAAGTCACTACCCGCAATCGTCTCCTTTACCGTCCAACCATTTCCTAGATATGCAAATCTATTTCCAGTTTTGGATTTATAGGTATATTCCCAATCTTCCCACCTGGGATCTTTTCTTATAAAATTAACATGCGATGCGCTTCCAGGCCAGTGACCATGAATTCTTCCTCCTGGTCTGCCAGAGTTTGCCCAAGATTTACAATTATCTGTCCATACTGTTCTGGGAAAGAAAGCATCACTATAAGCGATGAAATCATTTGTCGCCTCCTTGGATGGGACGAAGGTCTTGATGCTCTGCTGGCTAACCTTTCGCAGTATCTTGGCCAAATAAGTTATTTGTGTTTCGGTTTGGTTTGGAACTGTACCACTTGTTCCATGAGCATTGGGTCCGGAGACAAAGAGAAGGTTGGGAAAGGAAGGCGATGCGACTCCAAGATATGTAAGAGGGTCAGGATCCCATGCATCATGTAGATTATGACCGAATGCAACAATTGGAAATGGTGGTCGTATATCAATATTTGCTCCGGTGGAGCATATTACTGCATCGACCTTTCTTTCGACACCATCAATTGTAACAATACCTTCCTCGGTAAATCTCTCGATAGGGGTTTGAATAAAAGAGACGTTTTCCTCGGTCAAAGCCTCTAGATAGCCAGGTCCAGGAGTCAAACGACGACAATTTGGCGCGAAGTCCGGAACAATAGCATCCAATAACTCTGGCTTCTTTTTTAACCGTTCTGCCATCAACTTTCGGAAATCTTCTTCTAGTTTCTTGTTATCTTCTGTCCCTTTGAATAGAGCGGCAAATCGACCATAGAATTTTCCCTCAAGCTCTTTTCGAAATTTTTGATACGTTTCTGGATCCTCGAATGATTTGAGGAGATCTGGAGGAAAATAATTTGGTTCCAATCTTCTACCTTCACCTTCACCACCGAAAGATCCCGCAATCCAAGTCTTGCTACGTGCATAATGGTCTAAATGCTTCACAACTTTCTGAAGGTTTGGAACCACTTGCAAGCCGCTAGCACCATTTCCAAGGACCGCGACAGTTTTATCCGTAGGATCAAAGTTTGGGTCCCAATTTGAAGAATGTCGAAGATGTCCCTTATAATCGCCGATACCAGGGTAGTCCGGGAGTTTCCAAGCATTAAATCTACCGATTGCCGTAATGACTACTTCGAATTGCTCTTCCGTTATATCTCCGTTCTCAACATTCTCGATACTCAATGTCCATTGTGCATTCTCCTCATCCCAGACTGCCCCAGCAATCTTGCGATTAAATTTGAGGTAATTGTATACGTTGTGCTTTCTTGCAACCTTCTGCCAGTATTCTCTGATTTCCTTTCCTTGTGCATATTCTTCGGACCATTGTGTATTAGGCTCAAATGTTGATTGATATACGTTTGCAGGTATGTCGCAACGAACCCCGGGATAGATATTCTCAAACCAAGTCCCACCAACATCGGCATTCTTCTCCAAAATTGTAAGTTGAATTCCAGGCACTTTAGCAGGTAAAAGAATACCTGCGTTGATTCCAGAAAGACCAGCACCAATAACTGCAACCTATTAAATTATCGATTAGTGTACCGTTCAGAAACAAGAATTAAGATAGTCACAGACCTTCAGGGGTTTAACAATATCGACTGGGTGGTCTTCTATTTCGAAAGAGGGCTGAGGAATAGGTCTGAATGGTAAAGAAGATTTGTTTTGAGCCAAGCCATCTCCATTTGTCTTAACATTGATGGCCGTTGAAGCTGGCCCCTCCGCAAACGATGAAGACGAAGATACCTTCTTGGGGTTTGAAGCAGCATTAATCCCCCGTGTTTCCAAAGTAACCGCAGAAGGTGACATGGTTTTTCAATAGCTGACTTTTGATGAATGTCTAGTCAAGTGAAGTAAAATCTCCAGGTTTCTATCTAGGACTTCTGAACAACGAGAATGACAATTGAAAAGTATCACAAGAGGACAGGAAACAAAAGAGATAGCAACAGTAAAACACATTACAGAATCACTCCACGAAGATAATTGACACTATCAATCACGATATTATGGTATCCCATTGCAGCATCCACGAACTGTATCAACATGGAATTCGGACCCATATTTTCTCCTAGCTTTAGGACTGAGGAGACTCAACTCGAGATCCTTATCATTAGGGTGCTTTCTACGATATTCTCCCGATCATCGCAAATAGACATGCAACCCTGGACATAGAGGGGTAAGTTGGGGTTGCATTCGTAACGATTGTGGCTATCTGGGTATCTATTTGATGCACGACATGACGAAATTGGCGGTACAGTTCGGAAGGAACAAGCATTGGAAAGAAGATTGATAGGAAGGATTGGCAAGATCTGGATAATTATGTGATTACATGGGGGATTGTCGACTTCATTCTTCGGTACTAGTCCATGCGTCGATAGTTCCTAGTGGAAGGGTATGAAGGAGAAAATCACCAGAATTAGTATGTATTGGCTTGATGAGCTGATGTTGAGCTTCAAGCCGCGAGATGGATGTGCGTTCATTGGCGGGGCACGTGCGGGGTTAGCGTATTTGTGCTTTTGTAAGGAATAAGACGCCATCAATACTCAATCAAACGAGAGTCTTCTTCATCATGCTGCATTTTAACCTTCCGCGAATGATGGCACGATGGAACTTATATTCTCGTCATTTCATGCGCATGGTACCGGCACTGGCAGCTATCTACAACTGATTGAGATAATGCCATTACCTAAGGTCTAGAGTATAGATTGTAAGTCTGGGTTTCCTTTACTGCTTGCGCGTCCTCCCTCTCATTACATTTTGAAGATAAACTGTAAGGTTCGACGCAGTCATTATCTCTGTTCAAATCAGTTTCCTATCCGATTACTTGAATCCGCATATTCAACATGTCTTCCACTAAGAAACAGCTCATTCTCAATGCGTTTGCCATGCAAGCACCCGGCCATCTCAATCCAGGTCTCTTCAAATATCCTGGTGATCAAGGTTCCGAATACAAGAATATCAGATCATGGATTGCACTTGCCGAGAAACTCGAAAAGGCCAAATTCCATGCCATATTCTTCGCAGATGTTCTAGGAGGTTATGATGTTTACAAAGGCCCTGCCAATCTTGAACCGACAATACCTGCGGCATCTCAATTCCCGATAAATGATCCGTTATATAGCATTCCTGCCATGGTAAGTCTTTCCTAGAAGAATTATGGCTCGCTACAAAGCAATATCTGACCTGAGAAAAAAGGCTGCAGCTACAAAAAGTATTGGATTTGGTGTGACTGCTTCAACAACCTACGAACAGCCTTATCTACTTGCTCGCAGATTCTCGACAGTAGACCATCTTAGTGATGGGCGAATTGCATGGAACATAGTTACATCATATCTCGACTCTGCAGCTCGAAATCTTGGCCTCGATACTCAAATCGAACACGATGAGCGATATAAGATTGCCCATGAGTACCTTGACGTTACATATAAGCTTTGGGAGGCATCTTGGAGAGATGATGCTGTGCAACCCCCAGGATCGAGTTCATATGCGGATCCAAAGGGTGTAAGGCAGATCAACCATAAGGGAAAATACTTTAATGTACCAGGCCCACATTTGTGTGAACCTTCTCCCCAAAGAACCCCATTTTTTATTCCAGCTGGAACATCCTCAGCGGGAAAGAAATTTGCTGCCACCCATGCTGAAGCCATTTTCTTGAATGCACACACCCCAGAGCTTATTCGTCCGTCGGTGGACTCGATTCGCTCGCAAGCCAAGGAGTTAGGAAGAGATCCGGCCAGTATCAAGATTGTCGCTGGGCTTTTGGTTATTGTTGCTGAGACCGATGAAAAGGCACAGGAGAAATTTGAGAAGCTTGCAAGTTACGGCGATCGAGAAGGAGCCTTATCGTTATTTGGAGGTTGGTCTGGATATGATCTAAGCTCATATGGTGATGATGAAGATTTTCGGTTCATTGAAAGCGCTCCCCCTGCAGTAAGGAGTATGGTAAATCACTGGGCATCAGTCTCCCCACAAGGCTTAACCTGGAACAAAAAGACCATTGCCGAACATCTCATTCTGGGAGGAAATGGCGCGAAGCTCATCGGAAATGCAAAGACAGTCGCAGACGAATTAGAAAGGTGGGTAGAGGTCTCTGATGTCGACGGATTCAATTTCAGTTATGCTAGCATTCCAGAGACATTTGACGACATGATAGAGTATTTACTTCCTGAATTACAGAAGAGAGGATTGTTTTGGGATGACTACGCTGTCCCTGGCGGCACACTAAGAGAAAATTATTTGGGTGTCAAAGGTCAAAACAGACTTTCAGAGTCACATCCTGGATCAAAGTACTTCTGGAAAGCCGGAGAAGACGTTCCAGCATACTCAAGGCAAGAAACGAAGAGTGATTGAGAAAGCAGAGACTGTCATCTCAATCTCAAAGTTCAGATGAGAATAAAAATGCTTTCATCTCCATTGAATATGTTTTCCATCCTCACAATTTATCGCTAGCGTATTTTGCTTTGCAGATATGTATCTCTTCTCTGTCCGTGATCTACCATTTTTAAAGCATAAACGGGTTTTGTAGTATAAAAATAGCCCTGTCAATCGTCCATTCCTCGAGTTGTTCATCATCCATACATTTCTGCTTCGTCTCATATCATTGATCTTGCAGAAGTTTTCTCCACTTCTCGCACCATGGCACATGCCAAGCGGCTAGAATTGCCCCTGATACGGCTCCACCTTCACTCACCTCAATCATGAGAGGTCGCTTTCGGCTATTTTGCTGATTCCGCCCCACACCCTCGCGACGGAATCTGTTCCAAGTGGTATTTTTGATGTATGGTCTTCGCATCTGATCTTTGACTCCTACGTTTGAGATGTTGAAAAATCGCCTCATGTATGAAAATCGTCGTAATGCTATTATGTAGGTGGAATGTATGTTTAGTTTGACATCTGTATAAGATGAAAATGATCCTCATACCACAGGCTTGAAGGAATTCTGTCTCTCACTGCTGTTGATTTCATTCACTTACTCTATCTTCTTTCATCATTCATTATAATCTTATCCTCAGCAGGTCTGATTTTCTCCTGATTTATCTATTCTATTTCTATTCTTCATATTGCCACCGTGCTGTGCATAATTATATACTTTTTATATTCTACCATCAAACTAGTCAAAATGCTGTCGCTCAATCAACTCCTCCTATTGACTTCCTCCCTCCTCATCTCAGCCCACGCCCAAGGCGTTCTTCTTTCAGCCCAAGGGACCAAAGGCTCTCCCGCATCTCTCCCCCTTCAAGTTGTACTTAACGCCAACGACGCCAACATAATCAACCCCACCGAAATTAGCACCAACGTCGTCAACGAATGTGGACGTACTCTTCTCAATGGCAACATTGATATTGGTGAAAACACTGAGACCCAATTAGCCAATAAAACCGTAACATCAGTTACGAAAGGAAGTACGGTTAATGTGGTGATGCAGCAAGGAGGTACGAATGGAGCAGGGCCGTACACATGTGACATGGATCAGACGAGTAATGCACTAGGCTCCGGTCAGACGAAGTTGACCGTCAAGGAGACGGATGGAACAAACGGGAACATTAAATTGGCGGTTACCATGCCCAGTAATATGAGTTGTATTGGTGGTATGTATCTCAACCCCGTCTCCTTCCGCCCTCTCTTTATATACCCGTAACCCAAGGTCTTCAGCTACTAAATGCAACTAACACAAAATTAGCCTCAACGGGAAATATTTGTACAATCCGCTGTTTCAACGCAGCAAAAGCTGGTCCATTCGGTGGTTGTTTTGCAGTAATGCAGACAGATGAGACAGCTAGCAAGAACACACCCGGTACTATTGCCACAGCGCAGACATTAGAAGGTGTTGAAGCTCAGGTCTTACAGTAAGTTTCATGATTCCAATATTCCTATCAGTTTTCTATATCCATCACTTGTATCTCACCAATTGCTTTTCTTGTGTATTTCATGCATACCTCTCATCTCTCACCCCTTCTTCACCCCCCAAGAAGCATAAGAACACAAATAAGTATACATCGCAAAAGAAAACCACTAACCATCACCCACTCCAGAAACAACAAAGATCTTCCCGCCGCCATGAAAGCCAATTCTGAAGCAACACTTAACGAACAAGGAATATTCGCCGTCGAAGCACTTCTCAGCTCTTCTTTAACGGCGATTGCTACGAGTACTACTGCATCAGCAGCGACTGTAGCGACTACTACTGCGGCTGCTAAAAAGAATGGAGGAAATGGGAACGGGAATGGTAATGGAAACGGAAATGGAAATGGAGATGGAAATAAGAAGAATGGAGGGGGAAATGGGAAGAACGCGAATAATGCAAGGAGTGAGAGGGTTTTTGTTGCATGATGGGTGATAGGCGAGAAAGTTCGTGATAGTGAGGTTGATGAAAGGGAGATGGAGATGTAAATTATACCCACTTTTTACCTGTAGTTGTTTGAACAGATAGTCACTTATTTATAAATCTGAATTGAGAGAGGTGCATGAATACATTCGTCTGGTTTTCTTTTGAAGATATTTATTTTTTGTACTGTATCTCATTTTGCATGATGTATTTAGGTACCTAGATATATATTAGAAGCACGCAGGTACGATCAATCTATAATATATATTCAGATGATCATGGAAAGGGATTCCATTTAAACATTATATCTCTCGAATGAAAACCAGGAAATCATCTATCACGCTCGCTCAATCTCTTCGCCATTTCGGACTTTATAGTCTTCGATTATCACCAAACAATGTTTTGATAGACGTAACTCTTTTTGCCCCATAGATCTCAATATTTTTGTGGTCGTGTTTTTCAAATATCTGTATGTATGTATCTTGAAGTTGTGAAGTTGTAAATACGACTATGTTGTCATAGTTATAATGATTATTATCTCTCCCATCCTCATCCTCATCCCAATCCCAATTCCAATCCAGATTCCAGTATTCTACGCGAGATACAATCTCGATTCATGCCTATATATCAAAGCAACAGATATACCAAGAGGAAAGAGAAAAGTAATCTCTCTATGCTAATAACCAATGAGGGAATTTCGTGACAGGACATGCCGTGAAACCCGGCGTTGGGTTGGAAAGTTGGAAGACATGCATAAACAATTGATCGACGACAACCTATCTTGCTCAGATCCAACAGAAAAGGGATTCGTGGTCATCTACCTCTGTTTTTACTGCGTAACGCGATGTTACTTCCGAGAAATATATCATGCATGATCGAGGCGTACTTCGGAGTACCAACTCGTTGGAAATATGTAATGCTTATATCAGTTTGAGTAGCTTCTGTTCATCCCGCCTCTTCAAAAACACAAAATTCATGTTTTGTGCCACTTTATTGTAGTGCGAGGATGGAATACAGAAATGAAATTGGTGGCACTATCATTGCATTATTATTTTCCTACTATATCTTTGAAACACTTATATCGAAATGGAACATACCACAGGAATCAAAGAAGCATGGCTGTGAATCCCCTCCTAAATATCCTAACAAAGACCCGATTCTCGGGCTTGATCTTTTCATCGACAATTTCCGTCAAATAATCAAGTCAAATCTACTTAATACCTGGGTAAATCGCTTCCAAACTTACGGGAATACTTTTTCGGCGAAAGTTCAGACCAAACATGCTATCTGTACTGTCGATGCGAGGAATCTGCAAACTGTTCATGCCCTAAACTTTACTCATTATGGTGTTCAGCCATTGCGTCAACCTCCTACTTTGCCATTTCTTGGTGAAGGGGTGTTCACTATGAATGGTCCGTTTTGGGAACACTCCAGAGCCTTGATTCGACCTACCTTTACCAAGTCAAATGTTGCCAATCTTCCAGCGTTCGAAGTTCATTTTCAAAAATTTCTTGCGTTGGTTCCAATAGATGGAAGCAAGGTTAATCTGAAACCACTTTTAAACAAACTAGTATGACTGCTCATTTTCTTAGCTTTACCGACTTGACTGCAATCTGAGTGTTGACATGTACCAAGATTTTGACACATCGACGGAGTTTCTTTTCGGAGAGTCCATGAATACACTATCTCCAGAGACCACATTCCAGACAGAAGAGTGCCTCGCAGCTTTTGACTATGCTATAAGAGGCATGGGAATTCGCTTCCAACTAGGTAGTTTAAGATCCCTATATTGGGACAAAAAATGGTATAAATCAATAAAGATCACCCATTCATTTGCGGATCAATATATAAACAAAGCCATGGAGTTTCGGCGCAGCTATTTGGATGCCCGAGAAGAAAGAGGAAAAGAAGAGGTAGAAGATTCGGATTCAGAAGAAGATGACGACAATGGTAATCATCGCCATGTATTGTTGCATGAGATGGCAAAACAGACAGGTAGTCGTGATGATCTTCGAAACCAAATCCTCCATGTCTTCTTAGCAGGTCATGAATCTTCCGCTATCACGATTGGCAACGCAATTTTTCATCTTTGTCGAAACCCCGAGATGTGGAAGAAACTTAGGTCTGAAATTCTTTCAGAGGGTGATAAGCCATTCACATTTGAATCGCTGAAGAATCTTCACTATCTGCAGTATATCATCAAGGAAAGTAAGTTGTGGTAACCACTTGCCTCCTCGAACCATCACTAAATCCACGCTACTAGCCTTACGTCTACATCCCGTTGCTCCCACCGATACACGAATTGCCTTGCAAGACACCATACTGCCCACTGGAGGCGGACCACAAGGCACCTCACCTATCTTCGTGAAAAAGGGGCAGATAGTTTTTGCATCTTTCCATGCCCTTCACATGCTAGCACCTTGCTTCCAACCTGACCCAGAGATCTTTCGGCCAGAGAGATGGGAGACGGTGCGACCAGGATGGAACTATCTTCCCTTTATAGGAGGACCGAGGATGTGTCCTGGTCAGAATTTGGCTTTGACAGAAACGGCATATGTAATAGCGAGGATGGCACAAGAATGGAGAGAAATAAACTGTAAGGACGAGGTCATGGAGTGGGTGGAACTAATGACCGGAGTTGCAAGTAGTAAGAATGGAATCAAAGTAGGCGTCGTTGTGTGACAGCGGGGTGACTGTATCACACAAACAATTGCATGATCAGATTGATATTCGGGCCCATTTTAATTCATATTTGAAGACAGGAAGTCGGTGAGGGAAACTAGACCATAATTATGCTGATATTGAACACTTCAAACTCTCAAATCCCCTTACATGTGATGTATGAGATTGAATGAATACCACGACTTCATGCCATTGAGTCAACAAACGAACAAACAAACGAGGTTGAGTCATTATCGATTTGTATATACAGGTGTTCGACGTCGGGATTGCCTTTGGGGTGACATCGTACCACTCGGCTTCGGCTTTCGCTTCCAGAAACTCAACTTAACAATCAATCATGACAACCAGTACTTGTCTTCATGCATCCGTTGAAGAAACCTTTGTGGGACATGATACATGAGTTTGCTGGCTGAGTATGCTCTTGTCCATGCTATCTTGAGTCAAACAGACACAGCCAAGCTGAACACGGGAAGCCGAAAATTCCTGTCGAAGTTTTCATGTTGATCTTATACCATCCATGATTCTTATCATTACCCAGAGATATTCTGGTAGGGGATTATCGTAGAACAATCAACAATGTCATCATTCGATCTTCGAGAAAGAAAATTAAATATGAAGATCCAATCCATCTATTTATGGTTGATTCAAACTTTAAGGTAGGTGGCTTGGGTGGTCAATTTGTGGGTTAGTAGGATTGAAAATGGGCCCAAGGAATAGGTACACCCGCAGATCTACAGGTCGGTCTAACCCAATGAAGCTTAACTCTCGATTCTGAGGTCCCCACTCGAGTTTTGGCTCCGAAACATCTTTGAATCGAGAAGCAAGTGAGTTTCCATATATTATGGGCATGTGCGACTCATCGCCCAATGATATCTCATGATATATGATGATATTCATCAAGAGAGATGTAACGATTAACCATAGCTCGCTCTTTCCTCCCAAGAGTTTCGAAAAGATGAACAAGCACCCCGATTATGTCAAACGTTGACAGCTGTATGAGAGTGTTTGTGGTTAGGTATATAGGCCTTTCAAACAACCATGAGTATTTTCTATTCACTTCGATCTACCCGAATAGTGATTGATTCACTTATTCTCACTCCGCCTTGACACCCTTTTCCTTCTTTGTTCCTTTTCTTTTCTTGCCTGTCCTATTCACAATCTTGAGATATCTCCCTCAATTGATGAAATCTAGAGAATCCACATTGGCCTAAAGTCACAAGAAGAAATATTTACAAGCAGTTCAAAGAATGATTCTCGAATATAAGGAGAAAGCTCTCCTAACCCCACGATCGTATCCAGGATCACAACGGACAAGATTTCAAAAAAGATTCATACCCATTACAGTTGTACTCTTGATATGTGTCTGCATCTTTTCCACGGCCAACCGCTTCTCACTGAACAGTCGATATGGATTCTTCTCTTTTCATCCTTCGATAGATCTACCACTACCTCATACTGGTCGATATAGCATACAAGCAACCACATTTTCAAGAGAATCCAGACCTGCCAAAGCAGTACGATTAACGAAGCAAAAGAAAGTGAGAGAGGAATTTCTACATGCATGGAACGGATATAAAAAGAATGCATGGATGCATGATGAGGTGATGCCACTTTCAGGTGGTCAAAAAGATACATTTGTGGGTTGGGCTGCGACATTGGTGGATTCCCTGGATACACTTTATATTATGGGACTAAAGGAGGAATTTGAAGAAGCCTTGGAATCTCTTAAGAACATCGACTTTTCTAAACCCAATGCCGAACGTGTACCTGTTTTCGAAACTACCATTCGGTATCTCGGTGGGTTGCTGGGGGCTTGGGATATCAGTGGTCATCAATATCCTATTTGCTTGAGAAAGCAAAACAGCTTGGGGACTTATTATTCAGGGCATTTAATACTGAGAGTGGTATCCCTACTCCATATTATTGGTGGGAAAAGGACCTTCCCAAAGGAGACAAGATAGCCGGCGAAAATGGTGTTCTAGTCGCCCAAATCGCAAGTCTCTCACTCGAATTCATTCGTTTGAGTCAAGTCACTGGTGATCAAAAATACGCAAATGCAATACAGAAAATTACGGATCAACTGGAAGCTACTCAGAATACTACGACACTGCCAGGAATGTGGCCATCCCAAGCAAACTGCGTGGGATCTGAGTTGTCATTTGGGAGTCGTTCTTTTACTTTGGGAGCTTTTGCCGGTACGTCAATCGATGTTTCTCATATCACATTCCTTCGCTAACGTATACAATCAAAGATTCTGCTTTTGAATATCTTCCAAAGACTCATTTACTTCTTCCAAAATCCTCCTCTGCTGATCAATACCTGAAAATGTATCGTACTGCATTATCAACCATAAGCAAGCACCTAGTCTTTCGTCCCAATCTCCCAGGCGATCCCGATATTCTTTTCACGGGCACAGTGAATATTAATTCGGGCAAACCACTCCTAACCGCTCAGATCCAACATCTTGGTTGTTTCACAGGAGGTATGATAGGTCTTGGCTCCCGGATATCCCAATCCCCATCAGAAATGGAAACCGCCATCAAACTCACCAAAGGTTGCGTTTGGGCATACGAACACACACCTTCGGGAATCATGCCCGAAATCTTCCACGTCAACCCTTGCACCAATACATCTTCCTGTACTTTCTCTGGCTCCAGTTCAGACACCGGATATATCCGCGTCGACGATCCATCCTACCAACTCCGCCCTGAAGCCATCGAATCCGTCTTCATCATGTACAGATTAACGGGTGATCGCGCCTGGCAAGAAACGGGCTGGAAAATGTTCAAAGCCATTGTGAAACATACGCATACACCTCTAGCAAATGCGAGAATCAAAAATGTGATGGAGCAAAAACCAGACAAGGAAGATTCGATGGAGAGTTTCTGGTTGGCAGAGACGTTGAAGTATTTCTACTTGTTGTTTAGTGAACCAGAAGTAGTGAGTTTGGATGAGTGGGTGTTGAATACCGAGGCGCATCCGTTGAGACAGGCGGGTGGGAATACATAGCATTCGATGTATGAAAGGGTTTGAGCATGGAGAATTAGAAAAACGTGATAGATTTATGTAGCGATACGAATGATGTAATAATAGGAGATTTAATAGTTGATTGTGATATTCGATATTTGACATCGTGCTCGTGGGGATAACTCTGATGATGCTATTGCTCTAGTTCTTCTCACTTGCAACTAACGACTTCCTACCTATTACTAGAATCTTATACAGGAGCTAAACTGTAGGAGATGAATAAATAAATAAGAATACATAAGTCTAGGTGAAACCTACCAAGTCCCTGATTAATAGTATTACAAAAGAAGATAAACATTCGCGAATTCTATTCTATACTCTATATCCTATATTCTATATCCTATATTCTATATCCTATATTCTATATCCTATATTCTATATCCTATATTCTATATCCTATATTCTATTCTAGTTCAATAAATACAAACATCCTCTAATCTTCTCTAAACCACAAAGTCTTCTTAAAGATATCACAGTTAAATTTCAACCCTATCTAAGTAATTTTATCTAGGTAAGAAAAACATTGAGTGCTGAAACGGGTGTAATGTAATATAATAAAGTAAACACAGATAGATGAGTCTATAGATAATATAATCTTATCTCCTCTCCTCTGCTTTCCTCTTTTCCTTTCCCTTTCCCTCCATCGAGATTCAAGAACGAAGTCATCATCGGTAAAAATTAGCGAGGAGATACCTAGGTAGCTAAGTACCTATGTAGCCAGGTAGATACCTAGGTAGCTGTTGTTTTTTGATCTTATAGTATCTAAGTAGGTAACGTACGTTTCGTGTTTTTATATGTTCTTATTATGAGTGGGTGAGTGAGTGAGTAAATAAATAAGTAAGTAAGTAAATAAGTAAATAAATGAATGAGCGAGTGAGCGAGTGATCTAACCATACAAAATCACATAAACAACAAGCAAATAGTCATTCAAGAATCAAGAATTAAATCCCTGTATAATCCGCTATAGAGTACCTGGTATCTATGGTACAGTACAGTACCAATTATCATAATTCGGACAAGTTCATCCATCCATCCATCCATTCTATCTACAAATTCCTCGTACCCTTCCCGAAAACGCTGAGCACACAGAGCACAGAGCACATCGTCCAAAATTTGATTTGCGTGTAATGATTCATATGCATGCCTCCCCTTTAATTCCGCTAAACATACGTTTTTATAACTGTATGTATGTATTCCCCAAACTCCGTTTGCGCTAAGAATTGCTTGGTGCAATTCTGACGAGACCAAAAAAAAAGCTTGAAAAAAAAAACTCCATGTGATGCTGCCATAACCTCCATTTCATGCAAAATGCTCGCCACCCATTTCTCTTTTATTATCTTAATCCACAAAAAAACCAAAAAAACGCCGGTGCTGATGAACTCTTTCTACGTTCTTTCTTCCCCCCTTCCGTCCTTCCTCTAACCTATGGCTTTTGATAAGCCTCCGCTGGTAAATTTGCCTTGTTGGCTTGGAAAGCAATGTAGGCCTGTTCTAAATTCCATCCTGTCTCTGCTAAGCACATGGCCGAATATTGTAAATTCATGCCTGTCTCAGCGGAAAGTTTCTCGGCGCATATCTTTTGTTGTTGCTCGGGCGTGAGTGAAGCATCGACAATAGGAACCTGAGGAACATTTGGAAGCACTGGAACCGGCTGAGGTCCTTGAACTGCAGTCGTCTGAGCCAAAGGACTCCAAGCCCTAAGCGCAAGCATATCGCTAAGAACCCTAATAGGGGGTCCATTAGGCCCTCCAGGTCCGAGTATGAAGTACCGCGAAAAGCTACGGAGAGCTTTGCCTTCAAAATTAGGAATATTCTCCTCGAATTCACCGTGTACGTCGATGAGAAGACCGTCAACCCCAGCGGCACTCTGCCCAGAAGGATCAGGAAGACCTGGAAGGGGCTGACATTCGACAAGATATAATTCGGGTCGGGTGGCGATCTCGGGGTGAATTGTTTTAGGTAAGTCATTCCAGATGGCTTGAATTTCTTGAGACCCAGTAGACTTTCGAGATAATCTAGTAGACAAATGTGTATATTTGACAAGATTTCGATTGAATTTGTTGTATGCTGCCCACGGTGGAACAGGCAATGAATGGTTGCGATCTCGAACTGCTGACATGTTGACAGATAGTGAGAAAGAAGACTCGACATCGTAGAAGTTAGTGAGTAAAGCATTGCGATCATTATCGTATGCTCCGAAAAATTGTCTTATAAAGTTTTCCCCAACTTGTGCGACATCTCGGAAAGATGGGCTAGCGATTGGGAATGGTGATTTAATAGCCTCAAGATCTGCGTGGACTTGAGCAACACTTCTGACCTGGACACCACTCAATTGTTGAAGTTCCGGAAACCAGCGTACAATGTCGGTTGCGTAATCTGGAACGAGGGTTTCGATAGGGTTGCCTGATAAAACTAGGTTCTCAAGGTGACGGAATTTCCAGCGCCATAATTTCAGGGATTCCAGATCGGTGAATTGATTTCTGGAAAGATCCAGGTTCTTTAAGTCTGGAAATGTTGAAGCCAAGGAGGTCACGTTTGAAAGATCGGCCAATGAGTTGTCGGTCAAAGTGACACTGACTATGGCATCCTTCTTAGCTTGTGGAGTGGTGAACAATTTGTCGCAGATGACCATCAAAACTGGGAAAAGCTTTGAGACAAGAGTATTATCTTCGAACATTCCCATCTGCTTCAACTGCTCGTCTTGTCCCAAAGCTGAGAGATTTAAAAGCTTGAGGTTGGGATCGTATCGAGCTGCAAGAACTCTCTGGATCTTCTCTCGAGTTAACCGAGCCTCCTCAGACTCCGCCTTCTCCGACGTCTTCGATGGCTCGCTATCTTGTACGCCAATTGTTGATCCAGCAAATGCCAAACCATCCAGCTTCATAATAGAGGCTGCGTCTTCCGGGGCAACTGAGATAACAACGATGTCACCTTTCTTGTGTGACTATTCGAGGGTTAGCAAGGTATAGATAACCTTGAAGTCGACCGGGATCATGAGGTGGTAAAGCGAACGTGTCAAATCTCGACTCGTTGTAGTGAACTTGACATGACAAGAGCGAAAAATTACGGCGACAGCGCAGTGGAACTCGTGATCCCAAAATCATGGCGATAAAAACGTACCTTTTTAACTCTTATACTTCTCTTCGATTTGGAGTCCAATGCTGTGGCCTTGCGTTCGAGGAATGATACTAGGGACGAAAGGCCTTGGTCACTATTTGAAGCTGCTTTACTCCCCTTCAATCCTTTGATCCAGAGAGTAACCAATACGTTGGCTTGTTGCGATTGCGATCCCATGCCTCGAAGGATGGCCTGCGGATTTCGTGTGACGTCAAGTCTTCCTCCACCACGGCCAGTATTTCTTGCACCTCCCCGTCCATGTCCGCGTGGTCCAGTTGGAACAGAACCTCCGATGGCACCCTTTCCCCCTTTGCGACCGTTTGCGCCTGTCGTGGTATCCATATCTAAGTCTCCATCTTTATCGACTCGAATAGGACCAGCTCGTCGCTTTGTGATACCACCACCACCCACGCGACCACCACCTCTTGTACTTGAAGATGAGTTTCGCGGACCTCTAGGAGGCGCTGATGTTCGGTTCATCATCTTGAAGTCGTTCTGATTATAAGAGTCGTATTTGAATTTGCAATGATGGTTAAATATTACAAGTCGCAAAGTGTGCAAGAAGATTGTTGCTGATTGTTATGACGTATCTTGAAGATGCGATTTTTCTCGAAAGAGTGGTGGATGTTTCGTAGAAGGGGTGAAGATTTATCGCAATCGATTTGATTCAGTAGAAACGACGGTGTAAAGGAATTTCGGTTCTAATGTTTTGAATGATTTTGGTTCAAGTTGATGGTGAGAGTGAAAGAAAGAAGGTTTGTTGGGATAAAGAGAAGAAGTTACTAGGAAGAAGAATAAGAAGTTCTTTAATACTGACGTAAGCAAGGCTGAAACGACAAATCATGATGATTTTGCTGCCCAGCCTTGATTTAAGGTTCTGCCTACTAGGTACCTGGGAAGGTAATACTGCAAGTGTACAGATGATTCATGAATGAGTCAATGTTGATACCAACCGTATTGGCCTTATTATTTACCAGGAAACAAGTTTCGTAATGGACAATCCTTATCAGGTAGGTATTCAACATTTGTTCAATCAAATATGCTTCATGATTTAACCCCTCTATTTAACACTCAGCCTCACCAAAAATTTCGTAAGGCTACTGCTGCCGAGGCTGCTATCTTTCACATGCGGCCGCTGATGTCATGCCTCAGGCAATAGCTATCTATCTCAATCCAGCAGGTACCCGTAGAACACATTAGGTGGTCATGAATCCGTTGTTTGAGAAGAGAAGAGTATCGTAACAGTATTACTAAATTCCCTTAAAAGCTGCCCAGTATTTTATACCGTATCTTTTGTCTTCTCAATCTTTCTATATCTGTGCATTTCACCCAGACACATCTCCCAGACAATTCTTGAATCGACCTTCCAAAGCTTTGAACCATAATCATGTCTGTGTTACGCGTAGTTTTCCCTGCATGAACATGGGTTAGATTTGAAAGTGCACACAAGAGGGGCGGGACTAAAACAACCCGACCGAGAGCAATCCATTCAATGGAAAGCTGTCCTCAATTGAAAATGCGACTGACTGACTGAAATTTGAAGGACTGAGAGTTTCCAAAATTAAAAATAACTTCTTCTTACTTACATATTAAAATCACATTTGATGCTTCTGCCGGAAGGCCCTTTTAAAAAAGAAGCTCTTATATGATCGACCCTTCATTCATTTTTGCATTCCTACATTCCAATTGAAAGTTATTCGAATCATCTACTTGATTTATGTAATTCTGAAAGATCCTCCAAACTCAATTTCCCACGCCGCAAGGCTACTCCGCCTACCACAACAATAATACAGCTTTTTACAACATCCAGCGAAAATGCCAGCAAAATCTAGGTTTACAAGGCTAGATGCCTTTACTAAAACGGTCGATGAAGCAAGAGTGCGCACAACTTCAGGAGGAATTGTAACGATAGCTTCATTGCTAATCGTCTTGTATCTGGCATTTGGAGAATGGGCGGATTAC